GACTTATATACACTTGAGAATAAACATGCCCTACGACTACGACGAGGACGAACATGCACCGAGTTCTCCTCCAGCACCTCATGAACTCCGATGTGCCGCAGATACCAATTGTAGGCCTCGGGATCCTATTGGATGATGAAACTCCTGAAAGGTATGTAGGCTCATTAACTACAGTTTTCTTATATTAGTATTTGCTTAACTAATCCCGTAGTGAAAATGAAATATGGCAACACCGCGCAGCCAAGCTATCTGACATTATAGGAACTGGTCGCTTGCAACTTGCATGCGTTGGGCTATCCCTTATTTCACTATTGGTGTCTATTATTTGGTCCAATGGATTCTACGGCCGCACGATAAAGTCCCATGTCGACCGAATATGTAGGCCTTATACACCGCTCGAGTATGCTATTACGCAAATAGCTATCCTGGCTGCAGCATTGTCTCTGACGCTGTACTCCAAGCTCCAAAATGGATTATGGATGGAATCACTTGCTTTGGGCTATCTGCTCTTCCTGGGAATTTCACAATTCGCCTGGAGGCTCAAGGCTGTCAGCATTCTTTTGAGCCGCCATATGAACATAATAATAGCGATTTTCACCATCTTGGAAGCTATTAAACTCTTACTGCCCATTGCAATTATTGGTCCACATGATAACCCGTCAAATATCGAGTGCGTTAAATTCGCTTGCCTAGCATCTGCATTTATGGCTTCGTTTGTCTCGCCACGCCTCGCACGAAGGAAAGAACCTAACCCCGAGAGTCAGGGCTCAGATGATGTGAATGGGGAATTATCTCCCGAAGAAACCTGTTCATGGTTCTCATATTATCTCTCTTACGAATGGCTCACATATCTCATGATTCGGGGTTTCTCCCGGGACTTGGTCATGGACGATCTTCCTCCACTACCGACATACGATGCGCCGACAACATTACTACAACGTATGCGCAAAGCTCGTCTAAAAGGGGGAAGAACTTTCTGGACCCTCTGTCGGACGTTTCGGAACGATATCAAGACGATAATGCTCTGGTCAATCGCAACCGCGATGACAGAGTATCTTGCGCCATGTGCCATGTTCTATCTTTTGGGCTATCTCGAAGATCCCGACACAACTAATGCCGTCGTTCATCCATTTGTGTGGATTGCGCTCCTGTTCTTCGGGCCTATGGCTCGCTCTGTCTGCTACCAACGATCTATATTTGCGGGCACGCGGCTCCTTGTACTATCTAAAGCGACTATGATCCAAGAAATATACCAGACGATGTTATGGGCGAGGACAGACAATAGTATGCAAGAGAAGATTGACCCACAGGCACAAGATGGATCCAAAGATACGGAAACGAAGGATAAGGCGAATTCTGTCAAGATGGAGAGCTTATTGTCATATGATGCTGACGCGATTGCTAATGTGACCGACATATTCTATGCCTTGACAGCGAGTACGGTATCGGCGGTAATAGCCATGACGTTTCTATACCAGTTGCTAGGGTGGTCATCTCTCGTTGGCGTCGCAGTTCTGCTGTCTCTGACTGCGCTTCCTGCTCGACTTTCCGGACGCCAGTCCCGATTGCACGGATTGGTAATGGAGGTGACGGATAATCGACTGTCGAGAATCTCTGAATATTTACAGTCGATCCGCACTTTAAAATTTTTCGCCTGGGAAGATGTGGCAGCCAAGATGATCAACGCCATTCGAGCTACAGAGCAACAGCGGATCTGGAAGCGCAATGTAACTTCTATGCTCATTTTCATGGCTGGCGACATGCTATCTCTTGTCAGTCTCCTCGCTATGTTCACGTCATTTATCCTCTTTACAGACCGACCTCTGAGAGCTCCGACGGCTTTCACAGCGCTGTCCCTTACAGAAATATTACGGGCGCAGTTCGTATGGCTCTCCAAGGTTATCCAATGGGTAGCACAAGGCCATAAATCATTACAGCGAGTCGACAAATTCTTTGAACTGGCTGAAGAAAGAAAACGTCTCCCAGTTGGCCCGCCCGAGCTCACAGACGCGACATTCTGCTTGACACGATCTTCCGGATTCCGACTCCGTAATATATCCATTTCATTTCGCGAAAAGGCGCTTAATATCGTGACGGGACCAATCGGTAGTGGCAAGACATCCTTGCTGCTATCGCTCTTGGGCGAGACCACTCTTGAAAGCGGAAAAGCAACCTGCCCTCCGGACGTAGCCTACGTACCTCAGACAGCCTGGTTACAAAACAGCACCATCAGGGAAAACATTCTATTCTATAGCCCATATAACGAGTATCGATACAAGCAAATTATACATGCTTGCGATCTCGTGGAAGACCTGGCGCAATTGCCTTCGGGCGACTTGACGCATGCCGGAGAGCAAGGGTCTAGTCTTTCGGGAGGTCAGAAGCAAAGAATATCGTTAGCAAGGGCACTGTACTCATCATCTTCCACCCTTCTTCTGGACGATGTATTCTCGGCGCTTGACACTCACACTGCCTTGAGAGTCTACGAGCGATGCTTCCGTAGCGGACTCCTAGACGATCGGACAATCATTCTAGTAACACATTTTACCACGGCTATAGAAGATGCAGAACTATTGGTGTCCTTGGCTCAGGGAAGAGTTTCGTATACGAAGACAAATGCTAAAAGTCCTTCCAAAGACGCAAAGTCGTATTGGACAACACACCAGGAAGAGATTGAAGTTGATTCCTCATCGCAATCAACCACGACCCCTCCAGCAGGAGGAATTTTTGTACAGAGTGAAACTACGGACTTGGTAAATCATGAAGTTCACGAAGTTCGCGTAGACAAACCGGAAACCGAAGAGAAGAGGGCATCGGGGCGCGTCCCACGTGGATTCAGTAAGTTTATAAAACCCCTAGGTATACAAGGAACATCGCTAATTAGAGCCGCCTAAACAGTTGTTAGATACATGCTACTCTTTGGGGGCTACGTTACCGCCGCTCTAACGATCCTAAATACCTTCCTAGTACAAATCGCATATTTCTCGATCACCTTTTGGTTATCCATCTGGACTGGATTATCATCCAAGCCCGACTACTCTTCCAAAGCGACAACATATCTCCTTATACATATCGGCACGGTCACGGCGTTCATATCCCTCCAGTTTCTCAACAACTATATTTACCAAAGGGGAGGATGGAAAGCGGCGAAGACTATGCACGAGCGCCTGATTGCTGCCGTCCTCAATGCTCCTATAGCTTGGTACGACAATACTCCTGTCGGTCGTATTATCAACCGGTTCGGTGTAGATATACAGTCTATGGACAGCCTTCTAGTCGACTGGTTGCGCATGACGCTCGATAACGGAATTAGGCTTGTTCTGCGGTTGGCAAGCATTGCGTCCATCATGCCCATTTTTGCACTACCGGCGAGTTTCTTCTGCTTTCTCGGCTTTGCCACGGGAGAAGTATACGCGAGAGCGCAGATATCGATCAAACGCCTCTGCGCCGTGCAAACATCACCTATCTTCTCCCACTTCAGCGATTCTGCTGGAGGTCTTGCGGTCATCAGAGCTCGCCAGCCGATGGACGATGTCTTCCAGGCGATCCTTGCTGACAAGCTCGCCGTGTATATGCGCGCGATGGAAGCTCAATACAACTGCAACCGCTGGGTGTCTATCCGGTCCGATTTTTGCGCTGCTACGGTTGCGGTCGCAGCCGGATGCATAGCTTACTATAAATCTGGCTCGCCGGGTCTTGTTGGGTTCTCGCTAACCAACGCTATTGGCCTAAGCCAAACTATCCTGACATTAGTGAGGAACATGAACGAGTTAGAAGTAGAGTTAAATTCGTTTCAACGCGTATCTGAATACGCGGAAATCGAACCAGAGGTAAACTCCGAGGAGGAAAAGTCGAAGGCAACTGAGGTTCCTGCAGCTTGGCCAGCAACTGGCCATGTGGAGTTCCAGAATGTGACTGTTCGCTACTCGATGGATGGCCCTGACATCCTGCGTGGTGTGAAACTTAACGCCCGGCCAGGTCAGCGAGTCGCCATCATCGGTCGTACCGGTAGTGGCAAGAGTACCATTGCGCGTTCCCTGCTACGCTCTACACACGTAGTTTCCGGCAGTATCGTGATTGACGGTGTTAATATCAACAACATACCTCTCAAACGTCTCCGAGAAAGCATTAGCTTCGTGCCGCAGGATTCGGTCATCTTCTCGGGGGACATCAGATCGAATCTTGACCCCTTGGAGCAGCTCGACGAGGCAGAACTGCAATCTGTCCTTACGGCGTGCGGTCTAACTCAAATCTTCGACGCCGATAACCAAGCGCCTGGCCGTGGAGTTTCGATTCACACTCAGGTCGCGGCGAACGGCAAGAACTTCAGCAACGGGCAAAGACAGATTCTCGGGCTCGCACGCGCTATGTGCCGCCGTTCTAAAGTCGTTATTTTGGACGAAGCGACGGCGTCCGTGGACCACGAGACGGACGTGCGCATGCAGCAGATCATTCGTTCCGAGTTTGCCGGCTCGACGATCATAACTATTGCTCATCGTCTACGGACTATTATCGATTATGACCAAGTCATTGTTATGGAAGAAGGGAAAGTTATAGAGTATGTTGCCCAGCTGAGTTCTTCTCTATTATCTACTATATTTGTTCGTTATTAACCACTTTACAGAGCCGGTTCTCCTGGGGACTTGATCGACATTGAGGGCGCATTCTGGGGTATGCTGAAAAACAGCGGCGAATGCGAGGAATTGATCGCGTTGGCGACACACAGGCGGTCATAACCAATACCGGTACTGCGCTATTAAATAGGGACATGTTTTCTTGGAGTTAGCTCGTCTTTGGGCTTATGAACTCCTACGATATTCCTATCATCTTATATGTATATATGAATCAGTTAATACCAGCACATAATCACGATTTGCATTTTAGAAGACTTTACGAGGTATTATTATAACGACTGCTTGCAACACACAGGTATCCAGAACGTAGGTTAAAAGGCCACTGCGATACATATGTACCTCCATAAAATATATTACGAATATGAGCTTTAAGCGTGTGGTTCTACAAGACCATGAGGTCAACTCGGCGTGTACCTGAACACTGCACCCCACCTTACGAACGACACCGAGGAGTTGCGAATTGTTTAATCGGCCAACTTTGCTCAAACTTGAACAACACTTGCCTATCAAAGCTAACAATAACCTCTAAACCTCCCTCGTCACCGTTGCTGCTGCTTGGTATCCTAGGTAGAACGATAGGGTATCTCTTATTTGCCAACTTAGGCAACCTAACGGCACCGCATCTTCCGACTGTATCACCCCAATCTAACTCATAAACGCCTTGGTCTGCCCACGAGACAATTGATATGCCGTCATGACGCGGCCCCAGCGTGATTGGAGGATGATTGCTGGACGCGGCATATAAATATGTTAGTGTATCTCGCACGCTTTGCTCATCCACACTGCGAAGGGAAGCACGAATTGTGGAAGCAATCTGGGCTAGTTTTGAGATTGAGGTAGAATCTAATAGAACGTGGTCACCAGAAGAGGCTGCCCCTGTACCGAGAGATATTAGGTCCGTCCGTGAAGCTGTGGCTGCTGCCATCACAAAGGCGGCACCGAGGTAGTCCGAGGGTAAAGGTGGGCTGAGACGAGAGCGAAAATTCACGGGGAAACCTATTGTATTGGTACCCTCCTGGGCAGTCGTTGTGTTTGATTCAGCGACTAATATGGCGCTCCAAAGTAGCGCTGTGAGAATATCACCTGAAGAAACCCAGCCCGCATTGCCCTGAGAAGCGATATGCTCGTTCACGACATGCTTGAACGCTTGTAACTTAGTTTGTGAGAAGAAATATATGCCGGTCCTAAGATCGTTAGATGAGAATGATGTCGGACCAGCAAGCCTAGCATAGTCGTCAGGTCCCCGGACGTGAAGCAGTCTAGGCATAGAGGGAGGCGCTGTCACGTCAAGAGTGCTATGTCTTTCAATCAAAGCCCCACGATCTAGCCAAGACTGATCAAACCCAGCCACTACAGACGCGCCTGTGCGGCAGCGAGAAGCCCATATCTTAAGCAAGGCCCCGAATCCAGTGATGTCGGTCGTGCAATGATGAACAGCGACGCATAGTATGAACCCACCCTTAACAAGCGACACGCTCGCCCGGAATACCGGCGCTGGATTCGGAAACGGGGGCTGCGTGTGAGGAGGTATGATCCCTGGCGCGGTGAATGCCGAGGGCGGGAAGTTTTGCGCCTCGATGACGGCGTAATCAAGGGTATCCGAAAGATCTTGTTCGTAGTAGAGGTCCTCTAGCGTTTGATAAGGACTGCTGAGGTAAATATGTTTTCCATCTTCGCTGATGAGGACCCCGGAAAGAAGGTAGGGGACGTCATTTACAACTCCTTTCAGCCCCATCCTGAGCGTATTAATAGTGTCGGCGGCGTGTGTTGAGGGGAAGCAAAACATTTGGCGGACGTAACCCCGGGGCATAAGTTTGTCAAGCGGAGAGAGGGTCGCCATGTCGGACGGGCTGTATAGATTTTGACGAACGAGCTTTTGATTGAGTTATGACATCATATTTGGAGGGAAGTATATATTTTATGGGATTATTATCTAGATGCCTATACAATCTAAGAGTTTTAGCTTGAAGAAGCATCTCATCCTCCAGTCAGATGACGTATCTCAAAACGAGCAGCATTGAAAAAGTACAAGGCTACCGCGCAAGCGCTATAACTACAAATTAATTAAAATAAGATAGCTACCTGTATAATATTAATATCATATCTCATGCTGAATTCTTCGTAAAATTGTGACGATAGTTCAAGATTCCAAAGGGACACTTCACGCGTCCAAGTACAACAATTGCACGCGTCTCCCGTTCGTTATTACAAACGCGGCGTTTACATACTGACATAAGAGAGAATGCGGGTAATTCTGACGGAGATTACTGCGAATAAGCTGTCGGATCTGCGTAACCATCCCCGTCCCCGTCACCCTTGATACAATTCAAGATAGAAATATTATTAACGGGACATAGCAGGTGACATGCGGTCCACTGCTTCAGAAGCGGATATATCGCGGCCCTTAAATGCCATCCGTCGGGAAGAGCCGAATTGCATCCATGACATCTTGTGCGTGGTGGTTGCTGGGACGAATAGGTACCGTGTATGTAATTACAAGGTGGGATACGGGCAGACGGGATAAAACGCGTCGGTTGATACGAAAAGCGCGCACAAGATAGCGCTGTTGAATCAAGCCAGGGACTAGACAGGGGTGATCAAATACCCCAGCATTCTTAAATTTGGCTGACTGCTCGTGGCTCAACGCGTGGCTCTTAGCAGATGCAAACGCTAAGCCGTTAAGCCTAGACCAAGAATAGTAAAGCGCATTTTCAACAGCCACGAACGTTTTGAATGTACAGTACATAATCATTGTACCGTATTTCTACTGCAAGGCCGAGTCGCTAGCGGCCGTTCGTAAATACTACACTGAATACCTTTTTTAAGTAGCCCTGACAGAACAACATTGGGGAGGCCCGCGATCTGGCCCACGGCATAATAGTACACATAAACATGGAGATGTGATGTGTGTTTGAATGCTGCTCCTCCGTCTTTAAGTCAGCCTAAGAATTCCATTAGTTTTAAGTTGCTACTTTCGTATGTGAAGAATACACCCGAAATTCAAGTTGAGCGCATAGCCCTTTTCAAAGATTGAAGAGCTTTCAACCATATTCCTTTATACATTTACTACCCTTTTTTTGTTGTATAGAACCTACTATCTATATTGACGTCGATTTTGCGCCCTTGTCCTCTGGATGACATACATATCCTCGGCACCACCGCGTCCAAGCTCGAATTAATTACCTACCCTTCCACGCCACACACCCAACATCAAACCAGACAAAACGCTAGAAATCATAAGCCGCTTATCTACCCCTCGATATCTTTCTCGCTACAGGTAGCCATCCGTTGACAGGCGACGTGACATCCCTACGTGAATAAGAATAAAAAACGGGGAAATGAGAAATGCCCAGTCGATTGCAAACCCCTCGAATACGTCCTGTTCCTAATCGAGAGCCGTTCACTCCCACTCGACAAAGCATTAAACAAGGTAAACATAATTAAGCCCACATATTCGCATAATCCACTCGTCCCTGTTTCTATTCCACGAAACGTCTATTAGCATTGTTTCGGAGACAATTAAAACTTTGTCTCCTTACATCTTCTAGGCTTACTGTTCGGGACAAAGCAAAATCCTTACTATATTCTAACTGGGAAGGCGGTAAAACTAAGCTAACGTTCTTCCTTAGAATCTACATATACAGACGATAGTGTAATAAATGCCAATTTAAAATCGAAACCGGCGCATACTTCCAACAACGCGAACACCATGAGCACCCACAGTCCAGCCCCGGAGGCAAAACACAACTCCTATGCCAACTCCGGTTTCTCACCCAATGGCAAGAGCAAGAGCAAGAGCGCAATACCATCCACTATTCGTACCGTCCCTAGCTTTGAAGCACCTTCAGATATCTCGTCAGAATCACCGTCCGCGCGAAACAGCGGGTTTTCAAGTTCCATTAATAGCAATGTTAGCGGCACATCATACAACTCTCAACAAGCACAGAGCAGCTCGACGGTCAGGTTAAAACCGCAATCGCCTGTCTTAGAACCGCCATTACCGATATCGCGAAGTGAAGACCCATATACGTCCGCAAGTGATGCGAATCCTGGAGAAGAGACGGCGGAGGAGCCAACCTCGTCTTTACAGGTTCCGGGGACACCCATGCCCGAAGACCGTACAGGCGGAGCGCCGGAAAGTTCACCACAATGGGACGGCGCCGTCGGTAAGGCCGGTTTAGGAAAGACGGGCAGAGTAATTAATAAATTGGTGTCGGAAAACGAGTCCTTGAAACGGGATATCCAGATTGAGCGCTTCAGGGCCGATGAAGCAAAACAAGCGGCTAAACTAATAGAAGACAAGATGGAGCATATGGTCGCAGATTATGAAAGCCGCCTATTAGAAGCCACAATAACCAAGACGTTACTGAGTCGCAAAGAACGTCAAGTTGAGCACTTACAGTCTACGGTCGACCTCGAGAAGAAGCGCACAGCGGATGCTCAAGAACGTGAACGAACATGGCGCGAAGAGATGGAGAAGAGTCGCCGAGACACCAAGGTCCAGGTCGAAGAGGCTAATATGCATGCCGCATTAATGGAGGGTCGATACAATGCTATATCGTCGCATTGGAAGGATCAGGGCGACGAAGTTAAGCGTGTTATGGTGGGTCTTGAGGGCAGAATCAAAACATTGGTTGAGGAACGTAGGATGGACGATGAAAAAATCAGCGTTCTCCGCGATTTGTGTGACCAGCAAGACGGAAATATTCGAGACCTGCAACGGCAAAAGGATGAAATTGCCCGGCAATTTGAGGCCTATAAGCGCGAACAGGAGCAAGCGCTAAAGGATATCAAGAAAATCGCCCGTGAGAGAGAAGAAGAGCAGGTGAGGGCTCTCGAAGAGGCGAAGCGCGTACTCGGCCAGCTGAAATGGGCGCTTAACGTGAAGAAAAACGTGAAGGGCGCTGAGTAATGATATACTCCTAGTTTTACCGTGCAGTCCTCTCGTCGGCAAAGCGCCCCCTGAACACTCAGAAACCCGTGCTGGTTTGCTCCCCTTCGACAAAAATATTCCCCTATCATGTACTAAAATGGCGGCTTTGATATTGTAGTACAATAATTTTTTTTCCTTTCCCCTATTTCAATCTGGCCCATCGCGACTCCGCACTCCCAAGCGTGTCGCTAGTACCAAGACGATACCACTCGAACTATAATAACGACCTTCTCGCCCTTCGCGATACCCTACGGCGATTCTCTTTCGGATTTTATACTACAACCTCGATAGTTAACTAAATTGAGCGACCAAGGCCAGGTCAGGAAATGGTACTCGAAGAGAGTTCTGGTCTGGATATGTTACGATACATAGGATTGGCGTTTGAGGCAAAGGATATTCTGTGACTGCGGTCTAAATCAGAGTGAGACCCGGCAGTCCATGGCATTTTCATTTCATCACAAGGCCCCCAAGTTTAAGAGGGCAAAAGGAGACCCTCGGCTGGTATGACAAAAGGCGTATGAACATTTACATTCATGACCCTCCCTTCTATTGTCCACTTACGTTGTATATACCCAGTTTGCCAGTTTATAGTTATAGAAATAAGTCATTTGCGATGAACAGATTTACGAGCACTTGATATGCTCCACTCGGCTCGAATTTGTATGATCACTAAGACATCCAACACTTACAATTATCATTGCTTAGGATACATCTCTCGTAGTGCATCATGTTATGGATCTACTCGTCCCAGTTACTGTTCTAGGCAAGCTAGGATTTCTCTACCAAATACTTGAGCACTTCCTGACTATAAAGTGAACTACAGTCTGCTGTAGCCAGACTGCTTACATAAGCAGATTACCCCTTTTCTACCATCTGATATTGGAACTTACCCAATTAAATCACCCAAATATCCTACCTAGGTCAGCGAGTTTGACAAATCAAATAAAAGCTTGACTTGACTCGGGCCTGACTTGACTTGGCTTGGGTAGATAGCTTTTGCGGGATATTTGCCCAGGTTAGGTATAAATTTTTTTATTTGCTTATTAAGCAAATAAGTTGAGGCTGTTCAGGCCTATTTTAGTATATATTTAAGGGATATAATTGGTCGATTTAAGGTAAACTATTAAGGGCAACGTTTTATATTAAGGTAATTATAGGGTTTTATCTAGCACCTTTGTACAGTTGATGTAATAATGAGGAGCTTATAATAAGCTATTGAGATGACCTCATTCTATTCTATTCTAAGTACGTATCGGGGTACGTGCCCCTATGCGTACAAGGTAATGAGGCTATTTGTAATTGTCTTTTTTAAGATCACGATAACTTTTTGGTGTTTTAAACTGTAAAAAGTGCTGGGGGTGGGGCTAGGTGGGTATATATCTTAGATTACCCCGGCTCTGACCAATCGGATCCCGGAGATTTCATTACCCGGACTTTTACCGGTATTGATACCGTATGTGCCTCAGGTCAAGCCCACGATACGGCCAAGTAAGCCTCATTTTCATTTTATTTGACTTGACTTGTATCGAGTCAAGTCTTTGCAGTTATTTGGCTTGACTTGACTCATCGAACTCGCTGACCTAGGTACAGTCAAATAATCTCATGCCACAACCATTTACGGTATATCCTCAGACAGATAAATCTCATTGTCAATTCTACCTTGGGTAAGCATTGCAAGGCATATAATTACCTAAAATACCACGAAATTTCAAGTAGGCAGGTCATTTATACAGCGTTAAAGACCTAATGTTTGGCATGGGTATTCCTTAGCGAGCTTAATGGCTACCTCCTAACGTACCTACTCAAATTAGATAGGCACCTAGGTCAGCAAAGATCACGCTATCATACCCGTCAAAAGCAGCACTTGACGACGTCCAGTATGGCCGCCAGAGCTACGAAAGTCACTTGGTGTAAGGAACTCGATTTTTCGACCACATACGGTGGCACAACGGAGGAATTATCAACTATATCGTTGAGCTTGTGGTTAATTTATTACTGCCATAAGTTCTATTGGTAGGGTAGCCCTTCCATAAAGGAGATTTGCTGGCTATCATAAACTCGATTCTTCCTTGCGCGATCATGAAGTGCTCTCTTTTATATATAGATATATGCCCTAACCCATCACAGTGTTCAACGCAACTTCCCCTCGTATACCTTGTATATAGCCTGTGTAGATCTGTGCCTTTGGATATGTTCATCATGGTGCAAACTCGCTATGTGTCGCCATCCAAACGCCAGAATTAAATTATCTCTTGTTGGGTACCCTAACGCCTCTCAAATTATTGATACCGTTTGGCGAGAAGGTTTATTCTCTATCTACTAGCGGTTTAGATGGTACTATAAAACTAGCTACCTATCGGGTCCTATCTAAAAGGATTATGAGTCGTTGGATTACCACGGGATCCCGTGGCAAACTGACCCCTACTACCCCTGACCTACTTATATCTTATCAAATGGGCATTTTACCACGGGATCCCGTGGCAACCCCCTCCTTCACTATCCCTTATTTACCTTGATATTGTGATTCCCACGATATCCCGCGGAGACCACAGGTCGGCATGTCTATCGGCACATTTCAGGTTCACATTTAGCAATCAACCTTTCCGGAACATGTTGCACCCTGAGGACCGATCTAGCTGTGCCGGCTACTTAACTCCTATTACTTAGTTGCCATTGACTTACGGTATGACTATTGCTTGTGGCATTCTATAGCTTCATTCTAGGTAGTATATCAAGTAAAATACGACAAAAGGGGTGTACTTTGAGAGCTTCTATATAAATACCAACGTATTCATTAGAATTCCAGGCAAGTCATCTACAACACAGGATGTTTTCGGTATATTCAGCCACAGACTTCCATGATTCGACTAAGTAGGCACAGCAAAAGAAGGGTTATAACCGCTCCATGAAAGCACCTTGTAGTTCATGGACTACATGATTAATTTACATGTATTCAGGTTGGTCAGGCCTGTCTTTGCAATGCACTTGTATTTGTAGTAATAGAAAAAGATCTAGGTACATTAAGTACATGTTTGCCTACATCACATGCACCAGTATGACATAACCTAATCTAAGGGGTACCTGACGGATCTGAACTTGCCGTCCCTAGAGCAAGTACGACTAGGGAGTAGTGCCCGATAAGGTAGGACGCGTGATTGTTGCAAGCATACATGTATTGTGGGCACCTGCCGTACCCAAATAGATAGAGGAGCCTAGTGGTCATTCCCAAAAACCGAAACTGCCTCACATCGGTTAGCGGCAGGAAGGAACATCTAGGTCATTAAGCTTTGGAAAGACCGACTTCCCTCGTTCTATACCGTTTAGTTTAGGTAGGTACCTACCTTACATAGTTGCCTAGGTAGTTGCTCGGCAATCGTTCCTACTAACTTGCATGCAACTTTGGTCCACAGTGAATATCCATCTTTTCCAATTCTCTCTTCCAAACTTCATCCTTCAGTTTCTTCACCTCTTCCACCCACAACCCATTCACAGCCAACAACAACGACTACACCAACGACTACGACTACGACTACTACAACGACTACGACTACTACAACGACTACGACAACCTACTACTTCTATCTACACCGGGTCTCAAGGTACTACTAATTCATTTCTATATTCCAATCCCATACATCATTTCCCATAGCTATAGCCTCTACCAATACAAATCACGTCGCGTCGCCGACGCGACTTTTCGAACCCAAAGACTGAGTGAACATTGTGACCTAACGTTGTTTGTCGAGCATACCGTCTTTCAAAACTTCATTCTGTGTGAAAACTGCCAGCCCTTTGCCTTCTTTATTTGAATCTAGCGGATGTTGTGTTTCTTCTTCTTGCCTATGCAATAGGTACATTATCGTGCCTCATTACTAATTACCTACCTACCTCTTATCACCTTCTCTGTTGTTGCAACAACTAACACCGTGAAGAGTCTTTCAAGGACACTCTATCTGCGTGCCTATATACTGTTTCAAGGTAAGTCCTCTATGTCGCGTTTTGACATGTTACTGGACGCGTCTTGTTAATTAACGATTGCGATGTGCATGTAAGCAAAGTTTATGAACATCCAAATAAAGGCTAACATCCTCGGAATAGAGTCATCATGTCTGAGGTATCTGAGCGAGTTGCTGAGGCGCTCCGCCACGACTTCCCCAAGTGGGTGGCCGAGAAAGAAGCGCGGGAAGCCGCGGCGGCCCAGAAAAAGGAAAAGGACACCGAGTTTTGGTTTGTCTCAAACTGGGCATTCCACCTAGACGGAGTCCAGGAGTTCACTCGCAGACTCCGACATGACTTCCAAGTAGGTTTCCACCATTATTCAAAGTTGCTTCGCCTTCAAATATATTTTGATTTGAAGCCTTACTGACATAATTATAGCGTGTGCAAGTCTCATATGACTTGCACACCTCTTGGGTCAGGGTCAGGTGCCTGATCGCCGACGAAGCAGCGGTTATGGCTGCTTGCCAGCTAATATTGGACGATATAGTCCAAAGAGAGCTTGCGGCCGAACTGGTAAGTATTCCCCTTTCTTATTCTTTTCTCTTCCATAGGTTTTTACATCATTCTTTTTAAGGGAGTTATGCTGCCTATTTTGCTAGTAGTATCTAATATGCATATAGTCTTCCGGAAATAAGGTTTTTCCTTATCGCACACCGGACATCGGTGAGCTTGGGTTAGCCACTGCACCTCCTGAAATCCAATCCGCTGCCTCTATAGAGGTATGGGAGATCCCTGAGGGGCTTCTTGGAAGAGGCCCAAACCCTTTGAGACTAGTAACGGCCGAGGTATTGGCCAAGTTACAACATATCACGGGTTGTGCCCTGGCGTTGGGGGGGGATGGGCTTGCCGTATTTATCGGCGGCAAATCACCCCAAGAGATGGGTGTAGTGGTACGCAAGCTACAGACTCTTGCAAACTATGCTGTGAGTTTCATTATTGTTCTACTACTATCTATTGTTGCGGTCGAAGTCTAATATTTCCTAGGGATTGCCATATCCGGCTGATTTAACCTGTTGCAAGAGTTTCATTTACGCCGAGGACAAGCAACAGAGTCCTGGCACATTTGTTTATATGGGACATGAAAGGAAACCTACCCTGTCGACTTTCTTCCTTGATAGATCCGTGTACAGATTGGGCAAAGACGGTTCCGTATACGGAAAAATGTTTGGGCAGGGTGTAGTTGTGGCTCTAGCAGGTAACGACTCCCAACCAACCAAAGGCCCAGCAAAAATTGCACCATCTATATCGCCCGAGTACAGAAATGAACCATATAGGGCATTCTCGCCTTCCATGTGGAGTTACAAACCGAAGTCTAGAGCTTATGGGTCGGATAAGGTCTTATTCAACCCTAAGAATAATCCACAGGTTGTCTCTTGGGTTACCCAGCTGCCTAACCCAGAGTACAACCAAGGCCTTTCTCAACAGCCTTCTTACAAGCACCAGAGTACACATTTGGATGATAAGAATGTTGGTTTACCAAGCCTGATGCCACCTGATCCTCAGGCAGAAACAATTGTAGAACGATCTGCCGGTACCTCCAAGGATCCGGAGATACTTCCGGCGGAACAGGACCTTATCCTGTTCGACGAGCAACAAACGGAAGAGCTATCAGCAAGTATCAACAAAGAAAGTGAGAAAACAAGCATCACTCAGCCAGGAACACAAGCTCCTCAACATCCACCAGCGTCTGAAATCGAACCTGATGACCCATTCATTAAGTTATGGAAGGGTGCTCGAATAGGGGAACTCCGTGTAGAACCTAGCATCCCGCCCCCGCCTCGGCACTCTACCATGAGGCAGCAGGCAGGTCGCCGATATGATGGTTTACAAGTCCGAGGGTCAGATCCCGATCCCGAATTGGCTCGAGCCATTGTCAAGAGGCTTGTCCGAATGATGGGGTCACTGGAGATTTTCACTGGTAAGGTGTCTTTGAAAGCTGAACTTGGACGTTTTTGTCTCACAAAGATCAATCACGACCACGTATATTTGAAGGGTAGCGCTTGTCAAGATAAGGTCAAGTCACTACAGGACATAAAAGATGTCTTGGATAGACATCACGTCCGACCACAGGATCTCATATTCACAAAGATTCTTACAGGACAAGGCGAAGATGCAAATTATATCGCATTTGCGGAAGGTAGTGATAAGCAAAGACTATGGGTGCCCACTGATCGCAAAACTATCTATGAGATCTACTGCTGCGCTAAGATAGCAGGCGAAAAGTTTCAAAAGTTCATATTGGAGGTTGACGCCAAAGATTTCACCTATAGAATCTATGAACTGGACGGTGATTCTTGCGCTGTCTTTGTGCATTGCCCCAAGAGGGTATGGGACTTCCAAGTCACCCTCACTAAGTCACAAGACTTGAGCCTAACTTACGGTAACTTTGCAAAGGACCTTATTGACAGCATGCGTGTCATGTAAGTTTACTGCTACTAAACCCTTTCGTCCATTACGCCTTTACTAATGTCATGATATAGAAACCAAGACTCTGGCATACCGCTATTGGAATTCATTGTTAAGGGAGTATACCAGGCTGAGATAATGCTTGTCCGAACCCGCAACATTGCGTCTTACGCCAGGAAAGGAGGAAATATTCGACCCCTTTCCAACACCTCTGGTTCAAAGTCATCAACTACAAGCATACTAGAGATCTGCGAGGTGCATGACATGGCATCGAGGATCATTGGTAGAGCAAATAACAATGTGACCATTATGTTTGAGCAGTACCGTGGAAATCCGCAACGTGGTCAGCTACCAACCTGGTATGAGGCTTCATTGCAATCTAAGGAAATCAACAAGGCACTGAAACAGAATCGAGACCTCGAAATAGGCGAGGAAGTTTCTTGGACACCTCAGCAGCTCCGGCAGGAGGGGGCATTTGATGAAATCATCAAATCTGCAACAGAGATGGTAAAGAAGATTGATGGAGTAGGTTACTGGGGAAATAACTTCCAAGACGCAACAATTCATAAGATTCCCCCTTGGGGAAAGGAGACATCTTCGCAACATCCAACTTTTAACCCTTTCATCCGATAATGGAACACTCAGCTAGGGTGTATGAATGGTTGACCTTATTTGTGATTGTGGAAATGCGTATGATTTGTTGAAAGAGAATGTTGGTTGGTATCTGGGTCGGAGTACGGATTGGCTTTTGCTTCATGGCTGTTCTACTCTTCTTTGTGCAAAATGGCAATTCCTACTTATTGTTCGAAATCTTAGTAAGATAGGTATCACTCAGCTGGTCCTTGACTAATGTGCAAGGCCGCATACCTGTTAGCTGGTTTGTTAGGTAGCTGAATTCCAACGGATGATATTGTCGAAGTCCATTTACAATGCAAATTCATGCCTTACGGGTAAAACTTGGCACGAGGATGCAGACGTAATGCTTATAAATTTCTATAATGCTCAGTGTCGCCAGCTTCTAATTAGTTCCTTGCTCCAATTGAATTATGACATAGCCTGGGGGATATTATTACCTGTAGGCTAGTAGAGACTGGAGGATGAACACTTGCGCTACTAATAGGGTATTCCTTTAGTAGAGTACACATGTACAAGGCATATCCCCTCCCATCCTTCCCCTTTTCCCCAGACCTCGAATAATCCTCCTCCGTGTTTCTATTTCCTACATAGACCTAGCTTGGGCCCGTAATTGGGTACATACCTCCTAAGCTAAAGCTTCACCAGCGGATACTCAACCAGTCATACCCTTCTTTCTTGGTCTTTTCCTTCATGCCCCCTGCATCTTCTGTTTTCCTCTCTGCCCCTATTCCAATTTCTCTTCTTCCCCTTAGCATGACCATACCTTGACCACGACTGCTCCCCTAGAGCGCACTTAGGTCCAGCGGCACGCTGCTCCCGCGACCGGCTCGGTACTTACGGGGCCCGCCTTGGAAGGGTCGGGGCTTGGGGAATTCGCTCTCGTCTTTGAAACGCCAGCGGCTGTCGTGGACGATGTACCGCTCGCCTCTGCTCGCCTCGCGCGGGCTGGGTATCGCGCTGCCCGTGGGAGTAGGGCTCGGGCTCTTGCTGGTGCCGTTGGGGACTAGCGTGTATGTGCTCGGGTCTAGCATCGAGCGGAGATTCGAGCTGGCGCGCTGGCGATTTGAAGGTGGATCTCGCGCTACGGGAGGTGGTGTCGGCGCGGAAGACGGAGGGAGGGGTGGTAGTACGCCGGTAGGAGAAGAAGAACGGCCTCCTGTTGTTGTTGCACGCATCGCTGCTTGGACTGCGATGCTTGGTGATGTTGAGCTAGATGGCGGTGCTGACGGCGGGGGGGGAGGAGGTTGTGATCGCGTCGTAGTAGGGGGTGGTCTGGGAGCCGCGGCTGGAGGAGGTGGCGGGGGTGCGGGTGCTGATACTGGCGGCGGAGGTGGTGGCGCTGGCGCGGACGTTGGTGGTGGAGGTGGAGGTGCCGGCGGCGCTGGAGCAGATGATGGGGGAGGCGGCGGCGCATGTGAGCTCGGTAAGGGGGGAGGATGAGATGGTGCGGTTGAGGGTTTCCTGGACCCGGGCGGAGGAGGCGGCTTCTTCCCTATCGGCGGCGGGGGTCCTTTCGAGGATGCTGCTGATGCCATCGAATTCGGTCTTGGGACATCACTGATCGCCTTCCTTAGAGTCGCTACTGAAGCATGAGAGGCCGTAGTCGGAGGTGTGGGCACGGCACGAGCTGGAGGTGTTGGTACAGCGGGGGCGGATCCGACAGGCGGTCTTGGTACTAGCGGCGCTTTCGGGCCTGACGGCTCTGTGTCGTTTAGATAAGATGCGGTTTGGTTTGCTACGTATACGGTAAGCAATCTTCGCTGCCAAGTTTAATAGGCCTGTAGGACTATGTGATACTTACCTCCTGTATCTACACCTCCACCTCGTTTCTTTAGCTTTGGCATGCCGCCCGCAAATAAACCTGCTAACTGCGGCGCGGGCTCTGCTACTCCGCCACTATTATGGTCATTGCTACTCGCTCTATTTGCCGGGACCGGTGGTGCGAGGCCGCCCGGAACAGCAGGAGCCCCCCTGGGTATTATAGGAACAGGTGGCGCTCCTCCGGTGGGCATTCCACCTCCTCCTCCCCCTGACGCCTTCGCTACTTGGGGAGCAGAACGATCATTCGTAACGGCCTTTCTCAGAGCCTTCCCTTTCGATATATCGCTAAGTAAGGCACCTCGGCCAGCACCGACAGCCGGTGGTCGTGGTAGTCCACCAGGTGGAGGGGGAGGAGGCGGTGGCCCTCCCATACCCGGGAGCGGCGGCGGCGGAGGTGGTGGAGGAGGCATCTCGGAGATTGGGCTCCGGCTCTCTTAGTATATTGAGATATTCGATCACACAGGCAAGACAGAGGAACGTGTGTCGGGTCGGTGAAGATTGTTATAAGTTGAGGTGTAAAGTAGGCGTCACCGTGCGTGTATCGAATTGATAAGAATACGGGAAATCGGTATAAGTGACTTGTTAAGTGTCTTGGTAAAAGTGAATTGATGTATGTTCTGTTTCTTGACTGCGATGGGTATCTCTTTACTTTTTACTTATAGGTAGAAGGGAGGTGAGAGAGGCGGGTGGTACGTAACGACGCGAAATGCAATTGACTGGTGCCTGGGTATCGATGGTTTAGGAGGTAGGAATAAGTTAGACTTCATTGGACGTCGTTGGAATTGCTGGAAACATAAGCTTTTCAGCCGCGCGTTGTCGTCACATTTGTGGCGCAGGCCCGGATTGCCCCGCCTTATCTCGGCATTGAAGCATATTATTTAGAATATTGCATATGACGAGGAAGATAAGAGACGATAAGTCACAACCTCTATTACCGAGTCTCATTATCGAGTCTTAATTGAATTGAATCTCTCTTCGCGACAACCAACAAAAGGTACCTAACACAGGTAGTCTACCTACTCAGTCTCCTCACGTCACGAGTTTTTGCATCGTAACGATTGATTGTGTCTATCACAGGCATATTCACCACATGCCAGTCTCCTGCGTATTATAGGAATTGCAGCGATGCCTCGACCGGCTGCTGTCCCGCGACCGCAGTCGGTTTGCCAGATCTGCGACTCCATCATCGCTCGCCGTTTTTATTCTACAAAACCCGCATTGAGCTCTCATAATACTACCCGGCATCGACCGCAAATAGTACAACATGCTCTACGAGCAAATGCAGTCCAGAAGGCCCTCTTAGCCTCTACTGTACTATCAACTAAAAAGAAGATACTAGAGACTGGTAACACTCGGCATACTCTAGGAGAGCATGATAGTAAAATCAGGGCAACACCTAAGACAGCAGCGAGCGAAGAGCTGTCATCTGTCACTAATATGATGACTTATTTGGAACGGAGCAAATCAAAAGTACTCTCGAACAAACGCATACCGTCAGAAGCGGACGTGAGTGCTGCTCTCCTGGCATGTCGCGTAGTGGCCGATTATATTATGGACGATGCTGTACAACCACAAATCGCTCATATGATAAATGAGTTTGACTCAGCCGCTTCTGAACTACTTTCGTTGGATAGCACAAGCAATCCTAACTTCCCCAAGTCCATAAATACTGCTACTGCCAGTATAGCGAGTCAGGTCAAGCAGATCATCGATAAGATATCAGACACCGCCTACGCGGTATTAGCTCACCCGCCTGTCTTCATAACACCAGAACTACTGGAAAAATATGTCGACGTACAAGCACGTCTAGGCAAACCAGAAACACTCCCCCAAGTGTTTCAACTGTATGCATCAAAACCCATGCCTCGCGAAGGAGCTGGGTCTATCAGCTACGCAAAGCAGAATCCCAACAAGGTAGCAAATGCCATTGAGCCTAATGTGATCGAGAAAGCTCTGGACACTGCAATTGAGGCGAGAAACTTAGATGCGGCAGTTGGAATTATCGAGAATACCTATGCCACGAAAGCTTTCATCCGAAACAAGCTCTTACGCAAGGCCCTACTACCCGTGGGGACCTTTGCAGCCACACCGTTGGCGGCATACGTCCTTGCTAGGAACTTTTCCGATCTTCAAAATACTATGGATAGCGCTACCGCGACTAATGTTGCGTTCGCTGGTATATTGGCTTACGTAGGCTTCACAGCATCGCTCGGCGTTGTAGCCCTACTTACTACAAACGACCAGATGAAGCGAGTGACCTGGGCCCCGGGAGTACCTTTACGACTACGGTGGATAAGGGAAGAAGAGAGGGCTGCGTTGGACAAGATTGCTTGTGCGTGGGGATTTCGAGAGAAGTGGCGCCAAGGCGAGGAGGAGGGAGCGGATTGGGATGCCTTGAGAGAGTATATCGGTCAGAAAGGAATGGTCTTGGATCGGACAGAACTAATGGAAGGGATGGACTTCTAGTAGATCTAAAGCCCACCTATTCCTTAACTACTGGATGAGATAACGTTAGTTTAGAGCCAGATCTGCTCTTTTAGCAACGATCTTCGCCAAGATCTGGTCGCGACGTTATTGCACCTAGGCACCCCACCGCGGACGTCGGAAGTGAAAGGTAGCGGATCTATCTGTCTATGTACAGCGATCCGGACGGGGGTCATGTGAATAAGAAAGCATGGCAAACCTATTGTTGTTATTAGGTTTGCTTGAACTGCCTACTAAAAACTATCAGGTACTAAACTATCAGGTACTAATTGCACAGCCTCCTAGTCTACATCATTACTCGCATATCGGCCTTAAGGAAGGGATAAGCTATCGATTTCTACAGCCTTCATACTGGAGACTTAAACATGTGGCGGCCGCTCTCTCGGTGTATAGACAGGGACTGCGCGACTTGTCATGGCTAGGCAACGCATCATAGGACGCTTCGGCTGTACTTGGCGTTCATCGATACTTTACCTCTAGCTTTGAGACTTCATGTCTTTGTTCGATTATATAATAAGGCCTTTGTCCTCTCTCATCCCTTCTTAGTAGTCACTGAAGGTGTTGGAATAACCTCTCGCATCTAGATCTAAACTATTTATAGATATATCTTGACCTTGAAAGTAAAAGCGTCTTCCATTTACTGTCATTAATTCTTACCGTTTCTTTTTACGCTACGTAGCCCGTTTACCGTTCGTCTCCAGACCAAGATGGGCGGGCAGTTTACACCCTTCGACCCCTTGAGATGCCCTCATTACGCTCAATTCGCATCAGGCCTCGATAGGATCCATTTCGACGGTATCTACTGGACGCTCTTTTTTCTGGTAATCGGTATCTTGTTTGTTTCGTCGTGGGTTTATCAATCGTACGTGATGCCGTCTTCTATTCTAACCCCTAGATGTTGTTGAAGTGTGACTAACTAAGATCGATGCTGGATATATAGGACGATGATGTATCGAGAAAAACAAGGGTTCTGTGAAGATAAATTTCGGCGGAGGGTTAAAATCGGCCTTGCTGTATGAACCGCTGAAACTCCTTTCTTCGCCATTTCCAGTCTGTTTTGGAAGTTAATACTTCCAACCTAAACTAGTTAAGAGTTTCTTCTCTTAAGATATGCCCCAAGCCGCCGCTCCTTAGAGAGATGTTGTTTATTAACTCTTGCTATCGCAGTGGTGCACATTACTGTTCTTAATCGCGGCCGTCATCCTAGTGGTCGAAGTGTTCGCGCTTCTAGCACTACAATTCTGCGACGGCGAGGACCTCATGGCTCTATACTGGGCTACGTGGACGATGCTACAACTAGGCTCCGAGATTGCCATTCTCGGTGTCGTACTGGCGCTGTGGCACCATCTCAGCAACGTCCGGCTTCCGTAAGAACCCCGGACCCCCGTTCCCCTACACAGCGTTCCGTTCCGCGGCAGTTTCTAAGTAACTAACTCTTTGCTCTACATAGGCTCTTTGCTCTCGCGCTAGGCACCCCTGTTCTAGTAGTCGCGGGATTCGGACACGTTATCCAAATCGCGCTCCGGATGTTCTACGATCGCGCGCGGGCCCGCACACGGACCCGAAGGGACACCGAGGATGTCGAGGCGGGCGGGAAGCGGGAAGACAGCGACTCTCTTTGTCCAAGGTAAGTTACCTAACCTAACCTACATACCTACTCGAATCCCGTGTGCCGAACCCCTACCTAAAATCCGCTATGCGTACCTATTCACCACCACTTGGCTCCGATTTCTAATTTTCCGTCTTTCGCTAGCGCTACACCCGAAGAGCAAGAGCAAGGGCATAACAGCCGCCCCCGGGAAAATGAACTATGCCTGTACTTCGCGATGGACGTGGGCGACGACGAACGCGTAAGGAAGTGGCCGTGCTTTGCCGGGTTGTCGAATGGCAAGTCGATTATCCGCCTATCTACGTACTCGGGGAATTTTCCAAATTTACCTTAATATTACATACTTCTAAGCTGTGGTAGTTATATAATTATCACTTATTTACGTAGTTCAATGAGATCTTCAGGTTCTACTAATCCATACATGGGTTCAAGGCAGATGCTTGCCTAATAATAAATCATGCTTATCGTTTCATAATATGTTAACGTGTAAGTAGGAAGACGTGTACATATACGGACTGTCCCGCAGAGATCGTCTCCTATGTGAAGGTGAACCTACGTGGGTGACGATGGAAGTTTATTTATATGCTAGTTAGTCCTCCTGTCAGTCGAGATATGTAGATTCACAATTTAAATACGAGGACTATGGTCTACGTAAATCACTCGATGCGTTCTACGTATATATGGAGTTTGTCTTTAGTTAATTGATATTTAAAGCTACCTGGATCGTGTACTACCTATGTAGCTCTTATCAGATGATCGACTCGCGGATCGTAGTTTATGTAGAAGAATTACTATGTAGCTAAAAGCGGCGACTGTCTTTTAGCACGTGACCCTCCAATAAACGAAGACGAGAGTGAATATCTCTTTAGTAGCTTGTTTCATGTCGTAGCGAACTTTCAGTCTAAAAGAAACTTTCCGAAAAGGCTTGAGCCTAAAACCTCTCTTGGCGTTTACGCGTCATATCGAGCAAGTGGAACGGATGAGCCTGTTAAGATGGAATTTACCGTTGAAATTTGTCTTTTTGATATAGGAGTATGACATAATTGATGATTCAATGTCTTCATGCCGTCTACTGTGGGATTGGTATTGACGGTTTCCCGGTTCGACAAGGGAGGGTGAAGAGGGTGGCTATGATCTGCGCAGGGATTAGCCTGACACTTGTGAATGTCCCGATCGAGTAGACGTTTTTTTTCCTTCCCCTTAAAAATGGTCATTACTATGCTGATGGTCATAGATCTTTATGACCGAAACAAGCAGATTTCCAGATAGTCAAGTACTCTGTTAGGATGATATGATGACAGGATGATAGGCTACACGCGTCCTGCCCGTCCAACCTGCAAGATCTCGCCTGTCAGTCGTTCGTCGCTCCGCAGGACCGGCCAGCTCACGCCATCCGCCTTATACAAGCTAACTTCGAGCTTCGTACCGAGAATCTTGTACGTCGACTTTTCTGGGTCAATGCGCCCGAATAATGGGACGCTGGTCTTATAGCGCTTAGGTTGCGCATCACTTGTTGGTAGGTCAAGTTCAATTGTTTGGGACTCGAATTTTACCGACGCTTTGTCCTTGTCAATCTTCTTGAGGAAGAAAGAAGCTATTGCCGTCGAAGGCGTCTGGTAGAAGTCATGGCGCACAGTCTCAAGCAACTCCTCACCGTTCGCGGACACGGAAGAATTAGCCGCACCGGACTTGTTCTTCTGTTGTCCAGAGCCGATGAATAAGTGTCTAGGCGAGGTTTTACATCCCTCAATTTTCATGAACTGATCGAACTCTAGCACCCGCCTCTTGCAACAGCTGTAGCCCTTGCTGCCTTCGTGGAATATGGGAGCGCCAGGGTGATGAACACATTTCTCATCATCAGATCTGCCTTGACTCTTCTTGTAAGCTACATTGCAGCCTTTCCGGCGGCAAACCTTGCCGTCGGGGATGTCGAGAGATGGATCGTCATCTTCGGACTCGGGAGGCGGCGGGGGCGCAGTAGGAGCAGGCTGAGGAGTGAGAGGGGCGCGAGTAGGTACTGCTGATACAGCCTCGGTGAGTTTTGAAGCTAGGGCCGAATTCGCGTCGATGTTCTCCGGAGTCTTCTTCTCGATCTCCGGGGGGAGATCAGTTGTGCTATGCTTTCCTTCCGTGCAAGGCGGGATCTCGAGGAATTCGTCAAAGGTTAGGACTCTTGGTTTACAACACTTCCAGCCTAAACATGGTGAATGTAGACTTGCGTTAGCGAATCTCTTGCCGTTTATACATAGGTAGTTAAGCCGGTTATATAACAGGTTACCCACCTTTCTGACCCTCGTGAAAGATTGGAGGACCCGGATGGTAAACACAGGTCTCATCCGGATCGGTGTAATCCTTGCCACAACCTTTGTGGACACACTTCTGAGCCATTGTTGGATGCACGTATTGTATGTATGATCTTAGCGAAGAATTGATGTAAGAATCAACTGACTAAATCAAGTTGAGTTGGTATTTTTCTCTGGGGAGTTTGCTAAGAAAGTGTACCTAATATTTGTTGTATTTATTGAAACTATTTGTTAATTAAACATGTTATAGATGAAGCTGATGGAAGCTACGAGAGCCTCGAAGCTTCTCACCGCCTTCTGTTTGTGTCTGTTTGTGGGAGCTCTGCACTAAGCCAAGTCCACATAGTACCTTTTTAGGTAACTTCAGAGCCTATGACGTACGTTCTTTATAGTACGTGCATGCCTTTAGAAGCATTTATACGGGAGGTACATACTCTTTTCACACCGGCAGAATTTGTGTACCCCGCTTGGTGGGGTGAAGCTATCTGACCTTCAATATGTAAACTCAATGATGTATAATAGGATATGCGTATATGCATATAACAGTATTATCTTAGGTAATTTTCTATCCTAGCAACTATTCGGATGGCTTAACATAAGATTAGATATGTTGATCGTACCATCTATCTCCTTTTAAATTGAGTTCTTTAAATTTAACCAAAACCTCATCCAACCTGAATCGCCTTGCTTGGTAATGCATATTTCAACGCCCCGAGACTTTAAACTTCAAAATGCGCGCTACATGTAGATTGCTTCAGGCCTGTAGGATTACACTGTTCACGCGTGAAAACTGTGGACTCTGTACCAAAGCCAGATCAGTTCTCTCCGACGTTTGGGATTCCCGGCCATTTCAATTCGAGGAGATCGATATCATCAAGTCAGATGTTAAGCCTAGATGGCGGGACCTGTATGAATTTGATGTCCCGGTGGTATGTATATAGCCTTCATCAATAAATAATATAGACTAACAAATACCTTGATAGATTCACATCAGCAAGTCTTCGGCCCCAGAAGAGCATCCACAGTCGGCTTCGAAAGCCGTCAAGCTCATGCACCGGTTCACTGCTGATCAAGTAAAAGATAAAATGGATCTCGTCGAGAAAGCATAAAGCAGCCAAGCTCGGGATGAGATGAAGGTGTAGACACCTAAGTGATATTACTAATGTACAAACTTCATTACGAGGGCTTATAGACCTAGTATCTTCCACCAGCTTGCGGTGCTTGCTGCCCTCTAGCAGTGCTTAACGATACGCCCAGCGATGCCTGCAAGAGCGTCGCGTCAAGTGCGACGCTGATCATATGGAATCCCTTATCGGCATACTGCTTGGCCTGTTCTCCGCCCGTGGCGAAGAATCCGCACTTCTTCCCTGCCTTATTAGTCGCCTCTAGGATTCGGTCAATCGCCTGTTCTAACTCGGGTTTAATGACGCCGTTTAGTATGGGATGGCCAATATTATTCCCCAAGTCGAAAGGCCCCACGAAGAGAACGTCAACTCCTGGGACGGCAGCTATCTCCTCGACGGCGTCAAGCGCTTCTTGCGTCTCTATTTGGACCATCGTCAGGAGCGATTCGTTAGCATGTTGTAGATACTCCGTCATGCTTGGCACCGGGTTGAAACGTTCCATAGAGAATGGCGATCCGAGCCCGCGCTGACCTTGGGGCGGAAACTTGGCTGCGCTGACGATTCGTTTGGCCTCATCAGCGGAACGGAGAAGAGGAACCAGAATCTGTTTCGTTAACGTTGTACTAATCCTCGTTGCTGCTTGCTAGCCACTTACGCCGTGTGCCCCTGCATCTAAAGCACCTTAACTAGGTGTTAGATACACGGTATTGCCGGGTTCGATAAATGGACTTACGTTTAATCATCCAGCCTTGCATATCAGGAATCCTCACGAGAGGGCTAACTCCACAGCTAGCGATAGCTGGGACGGCTTCGTGCATTGCGGCGTCTTTACGAAATAAGTGTCAGCTGTATCCTTTAGGGACGTTGAAGCGGATATTCGTGTTCAATCGTCGGCTCCTTTCCGGACAGGATCAGGTCTCATACCATCCATGTTTCCGTGCTCGCAATCAACCATCACCCAGTCGAAACCGGTGCGTGCCAATATTCTCGAAACATTCTGACCCGGCAGAGTCTGCCAAGCCCCTATGCTAGGGCCTTCATTCTTGATAAATACGTTCTTCAGCACACACCCTTGCAGCATCTTGGAGTATGGTCTCGCGTGTACTATAATATCAGCACGAAAAGGAAGAGGATGTTGCTTTGGGCTCGATAATAGGGCTCGACTAGCTGAAGCAGCAACCCGAGCATTAAATGGCATTGGTCTTAATGTACCGGTTGAGCAGATCGACTAGGTCAGCTATTTCGTCGGAACGGGGTGAGATAAGAAACGCTTGACTTGAAAAGAATTCCATCTCGAAATTCGATACGATCCTTCTGCAACCTTGGAACGTTTTGTTTATGAGGAGAAACCTGTTACCGGCCCCCTCCCGATGATACGGTAAGCTACCTACCGAGAGCGGGGTAGTTACCAGTATAAGGTCCAGGAACTCTAAGGCCATGCACCACGATGATCCATTGTATAAGATAAGAAGATGATAACTGAACTCATAACATTCCTTCTCGATCAGCTCTAATTCTCAAGTTATCTGACATTGCCTAACTAAGTGAAGCTTATAGAAAGGCATGCACGACTACATCACTGACGTTGATGCTGAAGAGGATCCATGTTTATCCCCTTTGGACGTAGGTCAGGTACCTCTTTAGAATCGAATCCTTTATATAGTATCACGTAGCGGAAGTACATGTACTACGGCATCTCTTAATATCTGAGACGCGAAGACTGAGATCTAAAGGTACTGCATTTATAGCACAGCATACCAGATGCTGTGTTTGGTAAATACTCCGTTGTACAATGCATAACATAGTAACAATCGCACATAGCTTAAATCGCGCCCATTGGACGGCCTGACTCCGGCTGTGCCGCAATTGATCCCCGAACCCCGACTTCGTCTTCTAAGGTATCCGAGATGCGCCCCGGGGGCCGAGCCGGAATCCTAATTAATCCGTCTCGGATACCCGGACGCCACCAGATCCATTAGGTATGCAAACCACTAGTCTAACTAGATACTAGAGCACATTATTATACTTGATATGTTATTTTGGCACATTTTTCAACGTAGGCAATACTATGTGATATGTTACTAAGCTAAGCCCTTATTGCCATAGACAGGAATCTTTTTTAGGGAAATTAGAGCTATTATTATATAGATAGCATACTCTTCGTAGACATGGGAAGTTGGAGTTTATCTATTAATAGTGGTGTTTTAATCCCTCCTTAAAATAGGGTTACCTACGTCGTAGTCAGCTTAACACTGCACGTACTGTATAATACATAGTTAGCTAGCGATCCCCATATCCTTTCCCTTCGTATTAACCCATCTGCCATATACCGGCGGACAACTACGTCGGGGTGTGCGTATACGCTGTCGCCCCTTTTGTCTTCTGCCAACACGCTCTACAATAAAGCCAGTAGCTTCGTGTAGTATATATGGGTGTTGGCGCTACGTCGCCTTAGTAACTTATGTCCTTAGCTGCTCGAACCCCAATAAAACTATCCCGAGAGAGATAGATCATGGTATCGATACTGCATCCTCGGGAACGAAAATCTCAATATTACATATTTTCACCCTCTGTGTGACGAATCGTTCGATGCTGCTGTACATCAGCCTCACGAAAACTTCCAACGTTGTAGCGTTTAGTTGCGTAGGTAGTCATGCAATGCACATCTAAGGCGCCCAAGAAGCAAATATCATTCTACTCGACTGGGTCGTGCTCTGGAAGGTGTGATCCTGCCTAAGCCGTTCGAGCTCGGATCAACGACGCTGGACACGAACGGGTGTAGTTACTGAAGTTTCAGTGTAACACGTGCGTATCATCTCGGAGTGACATCTGCTGGCTGAATTCTTGGGACCGAGCTAAAACGGTCTGGTGTGCGAGTGCATCAAGGGCGTCGCCTGGCATCGTTGGGGGCATATTCTGCACGGCGGAAAACATTTGACTCACGAGCTCAATATGACTGACGTAGCCTCCATTCTGGCCGCTTTGGTCCAAGAGCGCCGTCTCCGTGCAAGATTCCGCGCCCCATACGTCTGGTGGTATGAAATCGCCCTCGTATAATGCAATCCGTACAGGCCATTGCAGACGAGGCCACCATTCTTCATCGTCTGGATCGAATAGGGAAACAATACCCATGACTTCGCGACGCGCTAAGCCCTTCAACCACCAAACACTATCGAGAGACTTTAGTAAACCAAAATAACTAGCAAGAATTGCAAGAGCACGTGGGCGCCGGGACTCGAGCAGTTCTACAAAACGGCGCGAAACGGTCGCGAGAAACACGAGAGGGGCACCGGTATGGGGTATCTTATGAGCCCAGTCAAGCACGGCGACGGCATGCTGGTAGGCCTGGCGCGTCAGCTCCTGGATAGTGGGATCATCTAGGCTGGTAACCTCCTCTTCCACTCCAGCTAGTAGATGCCCGAAGAAATTCGCGTTTTGCCCTGACAGATCAAGATTAAGCGCGGGCTGAGACTCGATTATTGGAATCACGATTCCACTATGGCGTAGCCATTGCCAACTGGAAGCCACAACAGCTTTAATTCCTTGAAACGAGTGAAACCATGACAGCGGCAGGGAATATCCATCAGATCGGTCCTTTAAGTCACCACTATCATCTCTAGTGAAAATGCGAGACGCCGTCGACTGGAACGCAATGAGGGCAGCGGTAAGGAACAGCGCTTCAGCGTTTGACTCGTTTATACCCTTGCCGAGTCTTGCGCTATATTCCGAAAGGGTTGACGCCATATATGAATGACTGGCGCGTATAAGCTCTTGGTCCTGTGGAGCGTGTGACCGTAGATGGAGAGCGGAAACAGCAAGCAAAGCGTCGGCTAAGAATTCGGCACCGGTAAAAGCAAGGTTCGGGACAGTATCCCGCCATATCTTCTCGCTCACGGGCGAAGATATGGCCAGAGTCTGACAAGTAATGGTGGTGTAATGATGTAATAGTTTTAACTCCATCATGCGATTACTTTTGTTCGAGTTTGTCAAAGGAAGAGGTTCTGGATTTCGATAAAAGGGAAGAGGCGTGCTCGACTCTACGGAGGGCGTCGGTGGAAGAGTACTCGTCGAGGGACTATCGCAGTTACTTGTAGATGTCGTCGGACGGGGGGTTTCGACTGGACTAAGAGTATCGACGATGCCGGGATGCTCAAAGTCGCAAGCAACGCCATGCTTGGTACAATTTCCACATCTAGGATGGACTTCGTCGCACTGCGAACGCATCAGCTGCGCCGCTCCCTTTTCTTTTCCGTTTCATTTTTTCATTTTTCCCTTTCTTATTCACACCCTTTCAGGCGCAATTAGATCCAGACCACACACATACCTTTATTTTTCGAGCTTTACATCTTCGGCATCCGGCACGAGATTTTTTATGTGATCTTCTTGGAGGCATTATTCCGCAATATCATAATATCATAACCGCTGACGAAGAATTATATGTCTTTTACGTCGATAAGGGCATATAAACGAAGCCATCGAAAAGGATGTCGAAAAGGTCCAAATCAAGTAATTGGGCTTCTCGGAATGCCGAACCGAAGGCAGTAGTGTCCAGAGAGTGAGAGTCGGTGCAATGCAATTGAAGGAGACTGGACGGGATTGGATTCATTGCAGAAAGTGGGGGGGCAATTTGACATTTCACATGTGCTAAGCCACCGTTAGCAGCGTTAGGGACGCGGCAGATCCGGGGCAGCAGCCGTTTAGCCAATCATGTCTATTCTGACGACTTAGCGTGGCAGGTTATACTTAGGTCACTTATTATTAGCGTGTTTGTCTATACCTAAATGATGTACATATTAGGTACATAATGCAACTATATACGGGCATTGGGTACTTAAGGTGGGAGGTATGTAAGTACCTAAGCTATAAAATACGGCGTATAAGTTTGGAATATATTAAGCTCGATTTCCTTTTGTAGTGTATAAAGAGTATATTCTCTTATTGATTTAGTGCTCTCTGCTATAACCGCATTTATATACCTTAGGTAATCTTCCTTACTTGGTGTTGCATATATATTTTACAAGTATACCTAATGTACCCGTTACGTACCGCTCGGATGGTCCTACTTGCATAAGCCGTTGGCATTCGGTATCCGAACGTCCCCGAGGTCCCGAAAAGCTAACGTCTACTCTAACATCCCCACGTCCATTCCCTATTACATCATACCGGTCCGATATGCAGGTACAATTTATCCCAAAGAATTAACTACGGCATCATTTGAGACAGGACCAGGCTGCAGGCATACCGACCAGGTTTCTCACCTAAGCCTCAGGGGTATTCACATGTCTACGTGGATGCGTGCCTAGAGTCGAGAGGCCTCCTAATAACATGGCGATACACGTGAAAAAGTTGGGCTGGCTCGCAATTTTCGTTGTTATTTGTTTTACGCTCTTCTGGGGTCGGACATTCTATACAACGACGAGGCTCTCGGATCAATTGTGCTCAATCCTAGGAACGTGCAAGGCCGATACTTCAAAGTCCTTCTCAGTCCAAGATACGCCCATCACGCTTGAGGGCTATGGAAATTTCACTGGGAGACCGGTAAAAACCACACTGAGCGGTGCTGCGTTCTCGCACCCAGTTGATGCTTGGCTCGGTATTGATTATGCAACTCAACCCGTGGGGGAAGGCCGTTTTAAACCCATCGACTGGCCAGCTCCATTCGACGGCGTGAAAGCAGCCACGACATACGGGAAGGCGTGTATTCAAGATCCCAAATACGTGAGCCTAGAAGCTCAGGGGGAGGCTTGTCTCAATTTCAATGTGTACCGGACGCAGGGTGTTCCACTAAGTAAAAAACTTCCAGTTTTCGTCTATATTCACGGAGGCAGTTTCAATTTCGGCAGTAGTAAGAGTCTAGATGGGGCCGCATTCGTCGCATCGTCCAAGGCGCCAATAGTCGTTGTGAGTTTTCACTACCGCCTCAATTCGCTTGGCTTCTTGCCCTCCGTAATGTTCAGTAAAGAAGGCCTCCTCAACCTTGGTTTGCGAGATCAGTACTTCTTTTTGAAGCACTTCATGCAAAAACATATCAGCTCATTCGGCGGCAACCCAGAAGACATTACCCTTGGTGGTCGTTCTGCGGGCGCTCATTCTGTGGGGATTCATCATTTTCACAACTATGGCGAGGACGCTGGAAAGCCGTATTTTGCTAGAGTTATCCTTCAATCCGGGTCCGTCACCGCGCGGTCGTTTCCAAATGCTAGCTACCCTCTCTACGTCCGTCAATTTGAGGAGTTTATGACACACCTCCATTGTCCCATCGATGACAATGTAGCAGCTCTAGCCTGTTTACGTTCTGCCAAATTAGCTGATATCAGGAAAATTAGCATAAAACTATACGACGATTCTCAGTACAATAATACATGGCCATTCCAGCCAACACAAGGGGGCCCAATGCTAGAAAAGTTTGGTTCGCAGTCTGGTCTTGACGGTACTTTCTTCCACGTACCGACACTTATGACCAGTGTCACGGACGAGGGGAGATTCACTGTACCAGGTAATATGCAAACAAACGACGAGTTTTTGAATTATATGCACATCACTGCCCCGCTTCTGACTGCGGACGAGCTCCAGTCGCTGGTAAGTCTGTACCCAGATCCTGTGGCAGATGCTGCGTCTCCCTTCAAAGATTCTCCGAGGGGAGTACAATACGCTCGTGTATCTGCGGCTTGGAGTGATTATGGATATATCTGCCCGGTGCAAGAGACCGCATATAGGGTATCCACCGCCGGCGTACCCACTTGGAAAGCTCGTTTCAACACCAACAACAGCTTCCCAGCTTGGCGCGGGATTCCGCACGCGGCCGACGGGAGGTATACTTGGCCCGAACCCAACGTGCAGCACCCAGAAATCGGCCACGTGCATCACGGATACCTATCCAGCTTCGTCGCAACTGGCGATCCGAATACGCATAGGTACCCAGGTTCTCCTGAGTGGCCCAAGTATGAGCCCGAGGGATATGGACTCGATTCTAAACCAGCACTCCAGCTTGTCGTACAACCCCACGATACCAAAGTCGAGCCGGACGATATTCGCCGCGAAGCCTGCCTATTTTGGAGAGATCCTAAGAGAGCGTCCCGACTGAACAAGTGATTCGACACATTCCTTCAATTATTGTATTAATACATGCCATTTTCTACATATAGGCTATGAACTGTTGGCCTACTCCGGCACGTGATCTGAAGCTGCGGAGAAGCGCAATCCTAAGCTGACCTGGAAACGTTGCGATATAGGGTTAAAATGGCGTGATTTAGACTTAGATTTAAAATCTTATAGTAGGTTGTTCATACTAGAAACTGATCTTCTGAGTTGTTAATATCCCATCACATCAATTATAGACAATGGCTACAGCATTTAGCGAGATCCCGATAATAGATCTTTCGCGGGCAGACGACAAATCGGCTGAGCCTAGCTTACTAGATAGTCTTCGGTATGCTCTCACAGAAGTTGGCTTTTTATATGTGTCAAATCACGGCGTCCCAGAAGTCGTTGTTGACGGGTTGGTGAATGCATTGCCTACACTTTTCGAACTAGATAGGGACGCCAAGAATTCTGTTGCGTTAGAGAATTCGCCGCATTTCCTTGGATATAGCGGCGTTGGTAGTGAAAACACAGGTGGTAAAGAAGATCAGAGGGAACAGTTTGAATTTGCTACGGAGCTTACAGCAATGTGGCACCCTGGTCTCCCGTTGTACGAGCGTCTGCGGGGCCCCAACCAGGTCTGTCTACAGTTCGAGGGCTATAACCGCATATAATACTGATATTCCTAGTGGCCAGAAGGGCATCCAGAACTTCGGTCTGCTGTAGAATCCTATATACGAAAGCTCACTACCTTGGGAGAACGATTTCTAGATCTTGTTGCCCAGGCCCTGTCGCTTCCCTCTGGAACCTTCCAGCCATTTCTATCAGACCAGCATCGCTTGAAGTTGGTGCACTATCCTGCACTGCAAGATGGCGGCCCTGCAGGTTCTCGGCAAGGTGTTGGTCCTCACAAGGATTCTTCGGGTTGGTGGACATTCTTGCTTCAAGCATCGCCTCCTGAAGTCAAGGGATTGCAAGTCCTGAACAAAGCCGGAGACTGGGTCGATGTCCCTGTAGTACCCGGGACTTTCGTCGTCAACATCGGCCAAGCTTTTGAGGTGGTGACCAATGGGATATGCAAAGCGACAACGCATCGAGTTCTCACAGGTCCGCACGAAAGATACAGCGTACCATTTTTCCAGGGTGTTCGTCGAAACCTCACAAAGTCAGAGGCGATTGGGTCTCTTAAATCACATTTCAGCACCCTTGATACCGGTAGGGAATCTGAGGAGGGACACGCAATTGACTCTGCCTTCCTGAAGGGCCAATATGATACTTGGGGAGAGTCGCAGCTACGGACGAAGGTGCGCAGCCATCGCGAGAACGGCAAGAAGTTCTACTCCGAAGTGTACGATCAGTACATTAACGATGATGCGTAAAGTTGGATGCACGATGCACCATTAGTCAACGAAGAATAGCTGAGCGCTCACTCCTATAACATGACAGCGTGAATTCATTTTGGGTTGGCCATATTTATCGAAAGATACGTCTAGTCGTAATATTTAGCCGTTTTGCCACGAATGATCTCCTGCTCCGATACATCACTCCTCGCCTTATCTTTAGCGACTCCCCCAGCAACACGCGCCTTCACCCACTCTCCGGCAGTGATACCAACCGCACTTCCATCCATGGTCTTGTTATATCCTAGGCGCTCCAACACATTACTCACTACCGGCCTCAACTCGAGGCTGTCCTCGGGCCTCACGAAATATAGAACACCCAGCCGGTCTATATTGGCCTGGTCGGGCGGCGGGGCAACAACACGATGAATGCTGCTCTTCAAGAATCCGTTCGTCAGAAATTCTAGCGAGTCGGCGAGATTTACTGTGATGCTTTGTGGATACGGCTTAACCCACTTCCACTCCCCCTCAGGTGTGCGAACCTGTAAGGCACTCACGGGCTGCCGGAAAAGTAGAGTCAGGCTACCGAAATCCGTGTGGCCCTTTACCCATACGTTGCCTAGGGTCTTGTTCTGCTCCTCGGTCCGATGGTGGTATTTCATGTATCGCAAATGGCAGTCGCTCTTTTCTTCATACCGGTGTCTCTGCAGGAAGTAATCCTCCGGCAGCTCTAAGATGATGGCAAAGAGGACAAGGAGCTTGCCTACAATGTTATCGTTGATGTGCCGGGCAAATGTTTCTATCTCCTTCCGGTTCGCGTTAATAATCTCGGGATGTGGCTGTTCGAATGCGGGTATAAATTTAGGTATGTTGTAGATCTCGGTGTTGTCGTATACTCCAGGCTTCACTTGCTACCAAAATCTCAGCTGAGGAGTGATATAGAATATGCAGGTGAAGAAACTTACACGAAGCCCGAGTGGCTTATAGCCGTTGTATCCCCCATGCTCAAGGTCTGCCCGGTATTTCAGCTTCTCCTCGGTCGGCAGCTGAAATACTTCCTTGCCAATAGCAAATTGTCTGTCTACCTGTTCTTGGGTTAAACCAAAGTTGGTAATATAAAAGAAGCCGATCTTCTGAATAGCATCAAATAGCTGTGCCGCAAGCTTCTGCTTTCCATCCGGCTGGTCGAATTGGGAGAGATCCAATGTTACAAGATCTGCCCAGTCGACTATATCACACAATATCAGCATATAACGCTCCTTATGAATGCGCGTTAGGTTCTCTTACGCTCGTATTTCGTTTCCGGAACCTGATGATAGGTCGGTATATCCGCCTTTCCCTCGGCGATTCTAGTAGCGACTGCCGCCATCTTGAGGATATCAATATAGATTGATATATCGTTAATTAACCAAATATAGTGTGAAGCTGTACTTATGGCCTCTCGCGACAATACGCGATCGCCGTAACCCGGAAGTACGGTTCGATTTATGCATGACATAGCTAAGCAGACATCGGATCCGATGTAACGACCTCCACGATTGCGTGATCGGCTTACGAGCGTTCATTCCAAATGGATTCAAGGGTCCTGCCGACCAAAGAGGGGGGCAGTCGGTTCCAAACTACCGGATTCTGTCACTTCTGCGCAGTTCGTGAGACTTAATATGAGCTAATCGAAGTCGTGATCATCCCGGCTGATGGCGAATCTCGGGGGCGCACTCTGATCGGTCGAGAGCTCCAACCCCAACTCCCAATCCCCTACCATTCTATCGGAAAGGACCCCGGAGTGTCTCATTTCAGCACGTTGGTATCAACGATAATAAGAAGATAGACGGGATGTTTTGGGTCTTTCTATAGCGACTAGTACGCACCACTCCAACACGTCTATTTCGTAGAATTGATGCTAGTAGATAATATCAACTAGGTATAATGTCGTATCTTGGCAAGCCTGTAGCAAGAAATTCGTAATAATAGTGGGCAATGATTCTATGATCATTACTGAGCTTCTGCTGTGTTTTTTTTTTTTCTTTTTTTTTTTTTTTGTCGTTCGTCGTTCTTCAACTCGCCCTCAGACTTAAAAGATGCAGCTTATTTGAGACGCTGCTGCATTACATAAATAATAATCTTCCAATCCGAGCAATCTCCTTTTTCTCCGGATAGAAGGTTGTGGTTTCCTAATCCCAGAAAAAGAAGATGTCGAGTTCAAAGACGACTGTACCAACGTCTTCCGAGGCTGCTGTAGATTCCAGTTCCAGCAGCGTCAATGATGGATTCCACCACGCCCCAAGAGGCGAAGTAACTGACGATGTATCCGCCGGCGAGGCCATCGATGGGTATGATGCCGAACGCATGCGTGCGCGTACTGCATTAACAGCAGAAGAAGAGAAGAAGCTCATTCGACGAATTGACTGGCATCTTATGCCTTTATGTTCTATCATCTTCATGTTCAAGAACTTGGATTCGGACAACGTAAGCTTTATATCACATCCCTAGCCATAATCTAGAAGCAAGAGAGCAAGACTAACATGAGCGGCTCAAGGTTTCAAACGCTCGTATTATGAATAGGGGAACCCCTGATAATATCATGACGCAGTTAGGATTGACGTCTGATGAATATGCTTTAGTTACTGTCTTATACTATGTGAGTTTAGTTAACTATGATAATATTAAGTGCGATTGATGATGAAAACTCACTATGCCAAACAGATACCATACATCGTCGGAGAAGCACCTTCAAACCTACTGCTCAAGAAATTCTCACCTTCGCATTGGCAGTCGAGAATTGTAAGCACCCCTGATGAGTCTTTAACTACCTCTCTGGCACCCATATCGAGAGCAACACCTATGCCTGTAACTCTTATTATGTGGACGCTAACGATGAACTACCTATAGATGATTACGTGGGGAATTATGCTAGCATGCCATGTCGCCGTTAAGAATAAAGAGGGTCTATATGTGACGAGGTTTCTTCTAGGTTTAGGTGAGGAATCTTAAACCGCAGGACGAGGCTCTGCTAACCATTACCTTAGCGGAGGCTGGAATGTTTCCGGGAGTTATACTGCAAATGACCTACTGGTATCGACCAGATGAAATGTCTCTTAGGCTTCTCTATTTCTGTGGGTATATGCGAAATAAATACTTTTTTTTAGAGCTAATATATATCCCAGACATATGCGGAAATTTGAGCGGAATATTTAGTGGAATCCTTGCATTCGCCTTTGACCATGCTTCGGGAGCAGGAGGGTTGTCTGGATGGCAGTGGTAAGACTGCTGACAGCTCTTATAACCTATTGCTCAGATCGCTAATATTCGTCAGGTTATTCCTGGTTGAAGCAATAGCAACAATTATCGTGGGGGTTGGTGTATGGTTCCTTTTACCGGACTGTAAGTTAATTTGGCTGGACGACGCTACGGCCTTCAGCACTGACAGAGTCTCGATAGTCCCCGAGACAGCGTCCTGGTTGACGGATAAGGAGAAAGCATTCATACAAGCGCGCCTCCCATCGAATTCTCCAAGAGCCGCGGAACAGGACTTCAAGCTTAGTGTATGTAAAACGTCGATTTTCCCCTCTTGTTCTCTTCTTAGGCCGCCAATGATAGGGGTCAGAAACACATGACCCCATTTGATCTAAGAGCTGCTACTCGCAACACATATTTGAAGGGGAAAAGAAATGCTAATATTTACATTATCATAGGAAATCGTTTCATCATTGAAGGACAAGAGATTGTGGCTCTTTACATTTATCTGGGCTTTCTTCACCGTTGGGACTTCAGGGGTGCGCTTCTATCAGCCAACAGTCATTGCAGACCTTGGGTTTACGTAAGTCTCTCCTAATCCACGAGGGATATACGGACGGGGATTTTGTTGATTCTGACGACATATTTCAGTTCGATCGCGCAGGCGCAGCTTCTTAACCTCCCCATCACGATCCTAGGCCTCATCGTGATCGGCGTATCTGGGGTCTTCGCCGATAACGGCCGGCTCCCGAGACCGCTATACCCGCTCTCTTTCCTCACTATCATTCTCGCGTGTTACGGGGTTCTAATAGCATACCCTGGTACCGGCGCTGTTTATGCGGCGACTATGATTGGCAACGCTGGTATGTAACGCTGAGAGATCCGTTTTTCCCTATTCGTCGGTCTGTCTTGCGAGACAGTGTATGCTCATTGAGATCTCGAGACATAAACAAACCCGTTAGCCCCTTAATAACAGAAGTAATTATTAACATTTGTTACAGTTACGAGTGCCTGGTACCCCATGATGTGGCCGTGGCGTGTCCAGACGACTAGCCGAGCGACTGGGTCTGCATTCTCCATTGGCTTTGTAAATAGCTACGGCCAGATCGGAGGTGCTATCGGTCCTCAGATCTTCAGGAGTGCTTACGCCCCACGGTACCAAATATCTTTTGCTATAGCTATGGCTCTCGTGGCATGCTGCATGATCACTACCCTAATAACCTGGTGGGTCACCCGCCAGACTGAGAGCGATACGCGCAAGCTCAAGCTGGCGAGAATTGCCGCTGCCAAGAAGGATGATACTATCCTGGACGATGTGGTGGATAATGACTTGAAGAAAAAAAGTGATATATCTGCGGAAGTTTGATAGCACATCAAATTCAAGTGGGGATAGTGACGTCCGGGATAAACTTGTATGTAGTATAGAAGATCAGTTCCAGACCGTTACATTTGGATCGAGAGAATACCAGAAGCCAACAGGACGACTCCCGTTCAAATAGATAAGGACCAAAGCCCACAAGATTGGACGTTTGAATAAATGGAGTTTATGGATGCGTTCCACAACCTTCTGCTACTTGATACGACCTTTATACGAGCTGGGTAGGTTATATACCAGTAAGGTCCACATTGGATGGAAAAAGAGTACCAGGCTGTCCCCTTTAGGGTTCGCTTGAACATCAAGATGCAGTTGTAAGCCCGTACTTAAACCTTTTCGGATGCCCGGGAAAAGATATCTAACCCGAGAAGCTGGACTCCACGACCCCATTACCATATTCCGGGCCGGGTTATGCTGCATGTGTAAATATAGGAGGGAGCCGACATATTCACGGCTCTTCATTGGCTGGGCCGTAGCACACCTACCACCGAATATCGGGAGAAGTTCATTCGCGACCCCTGAATTTTTCGACCGGGTCAAAAACTACCGGGGACGTAGGATATGTAATGCGTTCCGCACGTTCCTACATATAACCGTGTCCATATCCCAGAAAAAGCGACCTACCCCAAGGACTTACCAGTTATATCCCTTCAAAATTTCGTCTTCTGCACACACCCACACCATCTTCCTCGTGTGGGTAATCTCGGTATGCTAATCCGGCCCCGGCCTTGGGCACCAACATCTTGGAATTATACGCACGACTCGCGTCGAGCTAAGAACTTTCTTGCTTCATAAGCCCGCCAAGCGCAGAGAGGTAAATAAACTCGAGTAAGTATTGACAGACCTTATCTCCAGCTTACAAATTTGGAAGTCCGGACCCGATATGATGAAAATGCGCATATATCATCGCCGTTTAACCAATCAGATGGAGAATGTGGTTCCTGTTACTTAAAAACGCGGCCGTCAATCGCGATCTTCGAGGACGTCATGTCGTACGCATGCCGTAGTCGAGATTACACTACCTTGACCGACCTCACATCGTGATGAGCTGTCCGGAGCATCCTCATCAAGTCGTTATCTCAGGCACAAAATCTAGATTAATCAGGTACCTATCGTGAGTGGGTGTGTGTGGATGGGATAAGACTGAAGTGAGCTGTCTCATGCATGCAGACCCTGAAGAGAATGTTGCGATATCGCCTTGATTCCTTCCCACGCACAACTTTTAAGGAGGAAACCAAGCACTCCCTAGAGATGGAATAAACCATGATCTCGTCTCAAGTTCTTTGCCGTCTTTTCTCCCCTTGATTTATATTTCCCACCGTCAGTTGCTAGCACGCGAAGGATAGACAACTAAAGCATGCGGGAAGTTATCCGCGAGACCAGCATCGGGCAGATCGCGCGCCTAGTCTTCGGCCGCAAAGATCTGTTCCCTTACCCAGAGGAGCTCCCCTCGTTCCAGCTCCCGGCGAGTCTACGCGCCGGTGGCCAAACCGCACTCCTAGATCGCAAGCTAGAATATGAGCTAAACAAGCAAGAGGCATTCACCTCCCGCGTCGAACAGTCGGTCTTCTCTACGGGTACGGTAACGCCCTGCGAGGAGAAGGATCTTGAAGCTGGTACCTCGCAGATATGGGATAGCGGTTTGCCGAGCCCAGCAGTAGCCGGCAATGCAACCCCTAAAGGCGGTGTGGCGTCCGTCCAGACAATACCCGTGTCCACCACTCCCATACGCGAGCCTGTCATAGTGGACTGGTACGGTGCCACAGACCCGGCCAACCCTGTGAACTGGCCGTTCAGGAAAAAGTTGTTCATCACCACGCAGATGGGCTTATACACCTTTGCCGTTTACATAGGCTCCTCTTTGTACGCCCCAGCAGAGGCAGACGTAATGGCCTCCTTCGGCGCGAGTTACGAAGTGGCTGCACTTGGTATCGCGCTGTATGTGTTTGGATATGGGCTCGGGCCTCTTCTCTGGTCGCCGCTCTCCGAGATGCCAGCAGTCGGACGCTCTGGTATTTTTATAGTGACCTTTTTCATCTTCGTGATGTTAGCACTTGGTGCCTCACTGGTTAATAGCCTAGGCGGGTTGTTCGTGCTTCGCTTTCTGCTGGGCTTTTTCGGGTCGCCTTGCCTTGCTGCAGCTGGTGCTACTCTTGACGACATGTTCGTGGCGTGGAAACTGCCTTATGTGCTGACGATATGGTCGTCGTCGGCGACGTTGGGGCCGGCATTGGGGCCTATTATATCTGGGTTTGCGGTAACGGAGAAGGGTTGGCGATGGAGTGGATGGGAACTCTTCTGGATGGCGGCGCCGGTGTGGACGCTCATGTTCTTGACCCTGCCAGAGACGAACCCAGACACTATCTTACACAGGAGGGCGAACCGTCTTCGAGCTCGTACAGGACGATCTGAGTTGACAAGCAAGGAAGATCTTAAGCGCGCTCATATGAGTGTATCCCAGGAAATTATCTACGCTTTAATCAAGCCCTTTCAGATCAATGCGCTCGACCCTGCCATCCTCTACACCACATGTTACGCCGCAGTTCTCTATGCAACGTACTATTCTTTCTTCGAGGCGTTCCCGATGGTGTTCTCCGACATGCACGGCTTTAATCTTGGAGAGTCCGGTTTGCCGTTCCTGGCTTTTGTTCCAGGTCTTTTCATTGCCGTGTTAGGCTATATTGGCTGGTTCCGACTCAAGGCGGAGTCTGTAATGCGTCGGGAACCCCCGCCTCTATACGGGTTTCCCGAAGCAAGGCTGATTCCGGGAGTGGCGACGACGTTTCTTGCCCCGATCGGGTTGTTCATTTTCGGTGAGCAACGTGTTTTATTATTTATCCTAGACATCTCGCGAACGAATATATAATGCTAATAGACTCCTTTTTCTTGCGATTAGCGTGGACCTCGCGACCAGACATCCACTGGATCGTGCCGATCATTGGCCTCACGATTTTATTTATTTCCATCTTCATCGCATTTCAATGTATGAGCTTCTATATTGCTCGGTGTTATCCGAAATACTCGGCCTCCCTATTTGCCGCCAACACATTCGCACGAAGCTCCTTCGCCGCTGGCTCGATCTTATTCTCTAGGCCCATGTACGAAAAACTCGGCGTGGGAGGAGGAGTAAGTCTGCTTGGCGGCCTCTCGATTCTGTGTGCCATCGGGATGATCTGCTTATACATCTATGGCGATAGGTTAAGAGCTAGAAGTAGGTTCGCTCAGTCGTCTTAATAATTTATAATAGAAAATGTATATGAAAAAAGCAAAATAGTATGGATGGATTAGTTGCGGTTGAAAAAAATCAAGTAATCAGACCAGGTTCAAGAAGAATCAGACAAGAGTATTGGGTTCAAGTCGAACCCACTGTCGGGTAATATTATATAATCCGTCCTGACGGTTGGTTGATGCAATGCTATAATACAAGCTCGAGCTCATGTGCTGGAGTCTATAGACTCTTTCCCATTGAAGGGGCCCCTTTATGTATATACCGATACGGCTATGAACCGAAATTGCAAAGTGCGTTCGCATATCTGCCAGCCTGATCTAATCCGCCCCGAAAGTAAAGTTTTGTATTTTTCTGTCGGTCACTCCAAAGTTATAACCGGTACCTCCTAGCCCTAACCTAGTATATGCTCAAATCTGATGGGGTGTGTTGTGTCATTCCCTGGTCATGAGAAGAAAACTCGAGTTTCTCGGCGCCAGATATGACAATTCCTCAACGCCAGTCAACGATTCGGCTGCAGTTAGAAATAAATATAACCGACCCCTTCCGAATTTTCGAACAATGTATGCGAGGTCAAATAGTTGTCCGAAATGTCGAATTTGCCAAAGGTTAACTCCAAACTCCCCGCAAGGTATCTGGCTCTTTTTACCATAATCCGCAAGAACGAAATCACTCAACATTTTGCAATATGACGCCGGGTATGCAATCAAAGTTCCTGAGTGTTGGAGAGCGAATCAAGGGAGCTTCCTGAAGCCCTCCATCTCAAGAGCTGGTACTTCTACATCGCTCAAACCTGGAACACCTTCGTTTCGTCTTCGATCAACGAAACTATTACATTCGGCAACGACTAGGCTCCATTCAGCCAAGGCTCGGCCGGCATACTTGGCACTCGTAGCATAGACGCCTTTTGGTTCAACTGGTATAACAAGTGGTTCTTGTGTCGGGGCGGTTGAGGCCGGGTTTGGAAGGGACATCTCATCCTTGTTTTCACTAGATCGGCTTATAGGGCTGTGGAGCGGTAGATCCTCGCTGCTCCTCTCAAGAGGACTCATCTGGCTGAAACTCTGCTGGCGGTCAAATGTCATGGAAATGCGAGGAGGTGATGAAGGTACCTCGGATAGATCGGCATTCTTCGCGGAATCGACTAATCCAGGATTAGGGCTTCCGGATACCGCCCGAGTTGGAGCCGGATGACCAGGAGCAGGTGGCGGCGCATTGTCAGCCCGACCCTTTGCAGCGACACAGTATTGTGCAGGGTTTGGTAGCCGCGGGCGAGTGAGGATACGATTGGGCGGAGACATTGTGCCGGCGGGGTTCCATGACAGCGTAAACTTGAAAATAGATTGCATATCTTCGTAAATGGGCGACGAGCCTATGCTGTCCGAGTCAGATGCAGGCGGGCTAATGCTTGCGGAGCTCTTGGAAGGTAAGATTGGTCGAGTACGTGAAGCCGCAGTCTCGCGTCTCACAGATTCTAAATCGCTGCCGGTAGGATTATTACCGCTAAAAGAGAAAATTTTACCTAGAATGCTGCTTCTCTTCTTCTGAAAGCTCGGCTCGATATCGAAGTCAATGGCGCCCATAGATTCGAAGTCAGTTGGTGGGCTTGACTGCAGGTCGGTCTGTGACGATGAAGCGGAAGAGTCAAAGCCCACCATAAGTCCAGGCTGCACGGTAGGCAATTCACTACGAATGATCATGAATCGCTTCCCAGGGGCTGGAAATGATGGCGCGGTTGACGGCGGAAACTTTCCTTGATCTTCTGCAACTTGCTTTAGCCAAAGATAATGCGACCATACAGTCTTGAGGCGTAAGTAAACAACGAAGAAGATTTTGCTGTGGTAGAGTGAGCGAAATACTAGAATTAGGGGATTAGGGGGTCACAAAATCCTTACGCGTCCGAGTCAGTGGCATTACCAGCGTCCCTACATAATCTCCAGCAGAGCAACCGCATATAGTAAGCTCTAACCATAGGGCACCAATTGGTAAATAGCTTATTGAACACCTCCTCTTGAAGTAACCACTCTAGACACACGGTCTCCTTACGTGATTGATTGCTTTCGATAGCGTCCCAGATAGAGAAGATGAAAGAGATAACTCGAATCTCGGACAGCGTATGGTTCGAGTTCAATATTTTCTTACAAACCTCGATCCAGAAGGGCCAATCGACATAGGTGAATCCGGGATGTTGAACGTCAACAAAATTGTCATAAGCCACCAACGCTTCTTCTAGAAAATCGCAAATCGTGAAGCATGCATTGTGGTCGAATTGTGAGGTCCGCTTAGCAGCAGCTTTCATGATAGCCATAAATGACTCGGCAAACGTATTACGTGCGCCTGCGAAAAGTATCGAGGCGCTGGACAGGATGTCTTTCAAGAGCACTATAAGACGATTCTCGCTCATCCCCTTCATGATATTGTTATTCGGCGGCATTGGTAAAGCCATGGCCGACGCATCGGCACCGTGAGCTGCATCTGAGAGGGGAGGCCCTAACATAGCCTCAACAGCTGCCTGGCGGTGTATAGTGGAGTCCAAGATAGAAAGTATCTGGGCATTCACAAGGACAAAACCCGGGGCGCGAGCTTTCTCGACAAAGAGTAAGCCAGATGGCATAAATTCTTCGGCCAGCATGTAATAGTACTTGCAAAATATGAAGAATAAGTCTGTATCGCATCCAGTCCACCTAGAGACCCACGAACCACGCCAGGGGATCCGGGCTGCCATGACCGGTAATGTTGCAGGTTGCTTAAGCAAATTAGACATGGCCCTGACGGAGGACCAACCAAGTCCGCTGACGGCCGGAGGGAAGAATGCTGCGATGGCATCGCTGTCGCCTTGGCCATATCGGGGTAGGCCAAACTCGTCTACAACACGGCGTATCCGATCCGAATTTAAAGACCACAAGCGTACGAGCACGTCCGCAATACCCGGGGCAAAGAAAAAGGCATAAGCGTAAACTTTACCCGCAAAATTGACAAGACTTAAAGGAGCATGTCGAAGCGACAATTTCTCCACCACGATAGACATCTGCGACACCAAGTTTGTAATAAACATAACTTCTACATTATGTTTTGTAGATTCGGCGAGAAAGGTAGAATCCGTGGAATCGAGCGAGGAAGAAGACATATTAGAGCTGGCTCGGGTCCGTTTTTCAAACTCTTCTGTGGAGTTTCGATCTGCCAGTGGACAGAAGCTAGCGTTGCATTGCCGCCATTCTGGTCGCATCATAATAGATGCCATAGCATCAAGTAGGTCAGGTCTGTCAGCTCCTGCAACAGGTTGTTGATTCTTCCCCTCGAGCAGCTCGAGAAGACCTTTCCACCATTTGTCCAGAATGATAGCTCTCCGCTCTAAATCCTCGTGGTGTAACCTCTTATTTGATGAGTGATTTGCATAGTTCCCCAAGAAGCGCATCAACACGCTTCGAACCATATCCATCTTTGCAGCAGCAGGATTGGTGTTGGGTTTTGTCTGCGCTTGGAATTTATGATAATCGTTATCTAACCCTTTAAATGCCGACCAAAGAGGGTCTCGAGATCGTGACGATTTTATGGGCGGGCCATCCTCTGGGAACGTACTATTGCTCGTCTCTGAATTATGTGACTGGCGGGTCTCCGTGGATGGGGGCGCAATGCTAGCCGTTGAGGAAGTAAAACTTTCATTATCAATATGAGTCCTCCCTTTCAGCATACCTGGTTGGCGTGACCTGATCCGACTAAGGTATGTGCCAAATTTACTAATGGATTCGGCTGACTTGTCGCTGTCGCTGCTAGCAGGCGGCGCTGGGCGCTTTCGTGAAGGTCTCTTAAGCTTCATAATTGAGCTGTTGCTAGCTGATCTTTCACGACCAACTCGACCATTAGCCGTTGTTTCCGTCTCGTCTTTCTTTTCTTCCTTCTTTTCGTCTTTCTTGTCGTTGGGCGAGGGCGACCTCGATCCAGATTTCCACGAGCGTTTGGCAAACGATACAAGTGACTCGGATACATTTCTATACGTTTCCTGTGGATTCGGACTCAAGAGCTTAGAGTTGCTACTGCCTTCCTCGTTGCCAGGCCCTTTCTCTGCCACCTCTTCAGAATCCTCCGTGACTTGCAATGACGGTCTACGCGATCGATTCATTGCCGTCTTCCATTTCCCCACCTTGCCTGTCCTGGGCTCGGGGCTGGGCATACTGTCTTCGGTGGGAGTGATCGTAGGTTTCTCATTGGTACTATCGTTCAAGATCCGATCCGAGAAGGAGAAAGTCGGGTCGAAATCCGTGCCAAAGTCGAAAGTTGGTACATCGAAAGAAGATGGGCCAGGGGGGGTGTTGGCGTTCGAAGATCGGTTATGCGAAGAAGTCGAAGTTGACTGGGTTTGATAGGTTTCTGTGGTGGAATTCGAATGAGAATGGCTGGGAGACTGAAATGACTGTTCGGGCTTGACGGTTGGTAGGACCGAAGCAATCAAGGTTGAGCCACTCATTTCATGGCAAGTGTCTCTGCAGCCGGGTGGATCAGCCCAGCTGAGGACAGTTAGAATGTCAGCGGACAGATCTGTTAGTAGATCTACTTCTCAGTCGCCCTGGCGATCGAAAAAGGGGGAATTTCGCAACTTGGATTAGCGATGAGGAGGGGGGTTTGTCTCAAGGTGTCGATACAACGATGTCACCTTAAGTCACCTTAAGTCATTAAGTTAACTGATGCAGCGCAACAATTTCCCCGCTTAGAATATGAAATAGAAAGCAATGGCGAAAATCATGCCGCTCTGTAATATGCGATAGAATAATATGAAGACAGGGCTGGGGGGGTTAAAAATTATAGGCACAAACGAATGTGGACGCAAAAAGGTGAATAACGAAAGATCGAGAGCAACGTACAGGTTAAGCTAGCAAATTGGTGTTTCAAAAGCTGAAGGCACGCCCGGACTGGGTTATTCACGGCACGGCCCAAAAGTTGCCCGTACTAGGAGGTATGTAGGTAAAGAAGTACCTTGTGGGGCTAGCGCTTAGGTTAGTGACTGCGGTCTTGGTTGTAATAAGGCGGCTCTCTCTCAGCCGAGGCGCACTGCAGGTGCAAACTAAGATAAACAATAATGAGATAATTGCGCGTCCGACATGGTAGAAGGTATCTAATAATTGGATAGCTGTTTTATTATATTTCGTAGGTATTACTAATATACCTACATAGGTACCTAATCTACCAGCTTCCATGTACTTACAATTAATAAAGTACATAAGTAAGTAAATATTACATCCAGTAATTCAAATAGTTAGGTACCTATGGTATATTAGGTAGGTATCTAGGTATGTACCTATTAGTGACTTTCCCCGCTTACAACCACAACTAGTGTATAATTGCAGTTTAATAGGTAGTTAATAAGAAGTAGGTGTGGCAATAGTCACGATACAAAACGAGCTTCGAAGAGCGTAATAATGATGCCATTACGTGTTTTGCCTTTAAATGCTGCTCATCCTCCCTGCCTCCCCAGAAAGGACACCCACAAATACGTGTGAAGATCAATTGATACACGTACACATTTCATAGAGATCGGCAAGCCTGCCAGGTCTATGAGCTAGGATGCTCCAATGAATGGAGGACAAAGCCAACAGACTTCAATAAATGTCCGGCAACCATGAATTAATATTCAATGGCCACAGGGTAAGACAACAGTTGAAAACAACTACGGATTCTTAATGGCTTAGTCATAACTATCTAAGTAAGTAACTTCGAAAAGGGGCTCTGCGAGGTGCTTATATCTACCACCAAAAAAAGGCAAGCTTGATTTAGACGCCTATATTGTCACACCTCATCATATACTACTATTACTACACTGTTAGTATATTATTTTAAACATAAGTCAAACGTTGGTGTTAAATATTTAGATGTACTGACAGAAGTTTAAATAAATTGACTTCCTGTTATCTTACTTATATGTTGGCCAAAGCTTTTACCCCTTAACACGTTTGATTTTCTTCCATCCATGCGCAGATACTTAGTACACGTGTAAAAGCAACCAAATTTTGAATGGCTTTAAAGACTTGCCACCTTTGGTTGTGGACATGTCATCTAACGACATTTCGGTCTTGTTTGTCTGTCGATTTACATCACAACAGTCATATCTTGACTAAGCAGCTAATCAATTCTTTGTGCAAGCTGAGACTTGGCAACACGGCAAGCTGGGCAACATGGCAAGCTGAACTTGCTTCTTCCCTAATTGTACTAGTACAACCCAATAACACCAATTTTACGGAAATTTCAATAATTAGTACACCTGAATAGCACACATTGGCCACTTTCAAGACACGAAACTGCGAAAAAATTAGGACTAGGGAAATGCAAAACTCTAGATAGTGCTGTTGGATGTTTAAGGCCTATTTGTGACAAGCCTACCCATATAAAGCTATCACTTACAGCCGGAGTCCAAATTCAAGATAGATAGGGACCTTTTTGATTGCTACCTACAGGGGTATATCATGTACAATGCATATGTATGTACAAACCTACATAAAGCACGGGATGAAATGACGTGACATGATATGCAAGGGTTTAATTATAGCACTCATGGGCTGCATGAATGGACCGTTTACTGCAATTACTTCATAATGCGCTGAATATGACAAGAGGCAGTTATATTAAGCTATCGAGATTTATATTCTTGAAATAAACACTCTAATATATTATTAAAGATAAACCCCAAGCTTCCTATGAACCACTAACTACCATATGTATATTATCCCCGTCTCATTTAATCAATCCAGATGCCTCTTTAAAACTAACATTCAATTAGCCTAGTTATAAGCCCCTTAGATTCAAGTTTGCGGCAGGAAATACTCGGACATTGACGGGAAATTCCATATTATCATCATCGGGTGAGTATCGTCGTCGCCATCTCAGGTCCGCTGTCGTAGAACATACCAAGGCCGCTTATGTGAGACAACATTTTCGTACATTCTCGTGGCCGGCAGAATCCGTTAAGACTCATGATATCTTCGTTGCCGCCGAAGAATTTTCCGCGGCAACGTAACGTAAACTCGACGCAAGGGGTTTAATATATCGGTGGGATATGTCCTCAAGTGCCAGCGAGACACGGTGGAGTAAATCTATCAAGGCTATCTCCAATCAAAATTAATGGTGAACGTTTTGAACAAATCAGACTACTTTGATTTTAAGAGATACTCCACCGTGTCTGGCTGGCACTTGAGGACATACTATTATATATGACTGAATTCAAGTATAGGTAAAATAGACGTATGTTGCTAGCCTCTTCTTAGGTTGTTTTTGTCACCCGAGGTCTCTCGGTGAGCTCTCCTTTAACTACCTAAGGTAAATGTAGTGCGCAATTGGAAACTTCCCGGTCCCTGCTGCGATAATTGATACTGGCGCAATGATCCTGTGCATTATCATGTCCGGTCAATGAACCACGGCTACTCCGAATAGTCTATCAAAATGCATCTTTGGGGTTATCAAGTGTAAATTCCGCCGATGCCTAAACTTCCAATTCGAAATTCTAGCAATCAAGACGTGCCACGGCTATATTACAAATTCATTGTCGACCATATGATCTCTAAGTTATTATATAGAGAAGAGAGCTGTTGTCAAACAACGGAACCTTAGTAGTTATGTCATCTACCGAAAATAGTGGGTCCCGGCTCCGAGAAATCGGGGTCGCTCTTTTCGGGGCAATGCTATCGGCCGATTTCATCAATCCACAATAGCTTTCAATATGGTGCGATTCCACCCATGTTTAAACAGACTTTGGTATCTTTCTAGAAATATAAAAACTAAGTCATTCTCTGGTGATAAGAATATATATTTTACAGTCATAATCACCTAGCACTGAATACAACTATCCTTCAACCAAATCAATCTTTAGTATCTGTTTATCTCCTGCGTATTCCAACATCATCTAGCACTTACAAAAAGCAATATTTGGGAGAGCCTTAATAACCATGGCCCATAATTCTGGTGTTGACCGCGACAACAAGCTCGCAGCTCTTAACTCCGCCACCTTGGGCGCCGAGATGCCTCAAATAACACTCCCGGACGGAAGTAAAGTACAAACCGGGACTGTGGGGTCCGTCTCTCTCCCCATAGTTTTTAATACAACCCGCTAACCCGAAGTCTACAGTGCTCTACTCATAAACATACGCGCTTACAACGAAGCGCATAAAGTTGGAGACAAAGATAAGAAGGCGCAGCTAGAGGAGTCGATGCGCGCGACACTGCCGCTTCTGGATAAAGTTGGCATGTTCGATCTTTTCCCAGCAGAGGAGTGGATTTCAGGAGACAACGAAGGTCGGAAGGTCGTAGGCAAAATGTACCAAGAATTCAAGTCACGGCGGTAGGGGGGGCACGAGATGCTATTAATTTAGCTGTGGGAAGAAGATCGGACGACGTATAGATATCATCAACGGGAAACTCCCAACTCCACAAGACATGTACATGTAATGTAGTAATACCAATCAATCAACCCAGCCAGAACGCCATTCCATGCGCTTCATCCGCAAAAAGCCAATTACTTCTTTTGACGTTTCAAGGCGTCCTCGTCGATAGCGGGATCTGCCATTTCCTCATCATCCAGATCTCGGCTTCTCTTGAGTCCTTTCATCTTCCTCGTCTGCAACTCGCTGAGATCCTGTTTACCAAGGTGGATGCGACCGATCTTATCTCCAATGCTGTCCGTCGATACGTTCTTCTTAGTCTTCTCTTCGCCCACCTTAACCGTCTTCATAGCTTCCTTTAATATCGCCTCCTCTGGCTCCCTCATCCGTCCAACGCGTAGGTCCATGCGAGGGCCCATCTCCTCTACTTCCACTCTGGGGAGCCGCTGTCCGCTGCGCTTTGTCGAGATGAGGTAGATGCGCAGGTGAATCGCCGGCTTTACAGCATCGCCTACGGGCTCTTCGGCTGACACAGACACGATGTACTGTAGGCCCTCTACATCAATTTTGTCGCTCGTAGCGTCGCCTTTAAACAGATCGATCAACATGCTCTTGGCCATCGTATACTCGTTTGCGACGGGGCTCTCAAAGGCAGTCCCCGAAAATAGCATCATCGGCCGTAAACCGACAGCAAACTTGCGACCCTTGAATTGGGAAATTCGCCGGTAGCTCTCTGGATCTAGATGAAACTCTAACATATCGAGGATCTTACTTGCAAACGTGCGCGCTAAAGTTAACGTATGCGGGCGCTTTTTGGAGCTGCTGCCAAATACGAGTAGTGACGTATCGTTTTTCTCGCTAAAGAACTCGAGCGAGGCGGGATCTTCGAACGGGTGGATAGCATTTTTCTTGGTAAACTTCTTTGCGAGTGGCTGGCGTAAGGAATAGAGATCGGTTAAGGCATCTTGCACGACTTGCGAACAAGTAGTTCCGCGACTAAAATGTCAATCAGTCTTCCGGTATATGATAATGATATACGAGAAGGATTCTCTCGCAATATCGGGGATCTAGATTGAATAGCATACAGGAAAAGAGCAGTCTTGGGGTTCTCGACTACTTTCGGGGCTTTCTTCTCGAGTGCTCGTTTCGAGCGCGCATTTCGGGGTTTTCTAAGGAAGCTTCGTTAGCATTTTGTACATATCCATTTTCGGGTATTTGATTGTGTTTTCCATACATTTGTTTCAGCATTGTGTATATGTTCTTGTTTTTTTAATTGAAGCTTCTTCTGGTTGTAGTGAATAGAATGTTGTCGCTAAAAGTTCACGTAGATTGTCTTTCAATTGGAGGGGCCTATGGAAATTTTTAGGACGGCAGAACTTTTTTTAGGTGGGTACCTAACCAAACCAGAATGAGTAGGCGGTGTAAAGCAAACTCTTGGAAGGGACATCCTACCGAATCCCCAATCCCCCAAGCCCCCCACTCCCTCCCCTAAAGCTCTTTTATCAGGGCCAATTGTTAAACTCCAGCCCATATCAGATCTTCACATTTCTTTATCTTCCCCGGCTTTACGCCAAGTTGTTTTCTTTTTGTCGGGTTAGTGTATTTTAACCAATGACTGCCTTGACTACGGTTAGATCCACTGCCACCAACTCACCTGACAAGTCTGACTCCATTAGGATACATGTTCATTTGTTTCCAATTCGGATTTCAAGGCAAAATATATTGCTACGTTGAGCTTGATATAGGCGAGTAGCATTTCGTCAGATACCTGTTATCAGCATGCTAACCTTCCACGCCAAATTCTTCGACGTATTCTAGCGGCTTACTCAAGATACAGTAATCATACAGTACTTTAATTTCCTTGGAGAAATGGTCTTCGGCGTTCGAAGCTAAGGTCTGTCGCTACACGAAACATAGTACGGATCTCAAGCCTCATACTTACTTATCCGGGCTAATGCAGTGGCATTGTTGCGGCTAACTACCTCCTGGTCTTCCTGTTTCCATATCAGTAGCGGTAGTCGTCCTCGGGCTAAGTTGGCCAGGCAATTTAGCCTCAAGCGAACGGCCTGTGCAATACAGAATTTCTTCCACGTGTTGAAGTCGGTCACAGAGACACCGTACGCCGTGGATAATTACGTGATATATATTTGGGTCCTTTGCGATTCTCTAGTTAGATAGCGGCCCGCACTCTAGCTTTCAATCGACCTTGGTTATAGAAGATGGTGCATAACTATTAGCAATAATAACTACCTCCTAGTTAACTCTACTGGCTTAGACAATATAGTTTTTATCGTCATCCCGAAATACACTCGAGTAGCTTCTATTGAAATATATATTTCAAACATATCATGTTATTTGCTCCGATCCCGGTGTGATCTACAGAACGACTTCTTGGGATCGCTAATTCCCTCAACGTCAACTTCAGCGTAGCATCCAAAGAATGCTACGATCGACGGCACGTCTCTAATAGTAGCTATATATCGTAGAGTGGTATGCGCTAATACTGTAACGACCGTAAACATTTCCGAGGTGGAGATGTCCTTTTTAAAATGTCTAGATCATACGGTTATGGGCTGTTACGCATTAGGGCTTACTATGTGTTTGAGGTCGTGATTCAAACACTCAGGCTTTGAATGCGGCTAACTGTGCGTTAAGACTCGTCTCGGGAAGACCATTATCAACTTAATTATTCTTACATATTGACGCGAATCGGGAGCCATGCTACATTTTATTAATAAATCTCTCTGCATTGTTTCCTCCCTTCCACAATGTTGTCCCATAAACCTCATCTCGACAGCTTGGAGATGTAATCTCTGCTAATAGCTAGTGGCCAAGAGCTGCAGTATGTTACCATCGCAGCTAACCCAATGAGGTCGACAGGACCTACACTAATGTGAAGATCTACATACCTTCCGATAATATACAGGAACCGACCTGGTTGCCAGATACGTACGTACCTTCAAGGGGGCGATAGGTTTAGGGTACACATGTATTGTCAAAGCGCATTACATCTTGCCTAACGAATGCTTGTATGTTTAGCCATGTGTGATAGAAACTCACCGACGACATTTCGGGACTTTGGAGATTTGCCGTGGATCTAGCGCGGCGTCTTCTGTTTAGTGTCTTGAGTACCTCGAGCTGTCAGCGCGGATGGAATAAACTTGATCGGACCCTGATTCTCTTTTGAGCTCTGCTTTGTCGGTGTTTAATATCTCAGGTACGCAGCGGAGTAACATGAATCCAGCAGGCCATGTCCTAACTATGGCTTTAGTTGGTAAGAGACGGGTAAGGGAACGAACAGAAGCGGAGCGAACCTAACTTAAATGATTCGAAACAATCATCTGTTAGAGTTTTCGGAACGTTTACCTGGAACACGTTTTTCTTGTGTGCCTATGTGGGCTCCGTGTTTCCGGGGTTTGAGCAACCGCACGTAATAAACAACTACCGGAGTGGATGTTCCACAGATCGTTTTATTATTTACGCCGTTCCAAGACCGGCACGCGGCTACAATTGATTCGGGTTAGAGTATTATTCCCAGCAAATCATCAGCGGCATAGGTACGGAGCTGTCGCGGGGACATTAACCATATCTGGCGTTCCGTCCACCTATGGGGTATCTCTAAAGTGACACTGGCCAGGAACGAGCTTTAAGCCGCATACATAAGATGGTGAGATGAGCAATAGTACACAGCAGATAATGTTTACTATGTACGTACCAGCACTCCGGATAGCCGGGCAGTTCGCATTTGCATGCATGAGGCTACGATAGTAGAGTAGTATTCCGAGTAAATGTTGGATTCTAAGCAACATTTACCCCATTCGGATCTCGCCGGAACAGCCAATGTTGAAAAAAGCTTCGAGAAGCTTAAGCGAACATCACGATGTCACTTCATAATAAGTCGCGGCCCTATCCCTGGTAATTAGGCACACATCTAGCCTCGAAGTTACAAGGGGCAGCACAATAACACCGAATCGCCGGGTCCCAAGTACGTCGGCAAGCCTGGGGGGCGGTATCTCCTGATTCGGCAGGTCTAGAAACTAAAGCACGCATGGACATGATAGTGATAGCCAAGGCCGGAGAACGAAGGCTTGATCGCGGAATTATCGCCACCGGCAGATTGCCGGTTTTGAGCTTAGCTGTAGCTTAGCTGTCACACCAGCTTGCAGACGTCGATGAACCGTACGGACCGGGATGTGTCCCACAAGGCTGGGTTCCTAGAGCAGCCAGAGTTACATTAGTGAATTCCTTTTGCATACGAAAACACGAGGCGTGGGAAGAAATCGGCTACCACTGATCCTGATCGGCACCATGTAGTCCTTCGATATCCTAGTAACGCCTTACCGAGTACACTAGCTTCCGCTGCTACGCATAGACTACTCTCTTTGGAAGTGGGTGGCACTCGATTAGACTTCTCTCCAGAAGATATACCAAGTCTGGGGTTCCCTCCCTTTTAAACTTTTCTATGGTTCTGCGGTGTCATTCGTTTTGTTTCCCCCCTCCCTAAACCTTAGATCTTTCGTTTGCGATCGGGCGGGATGCAGTTCCTTCCGTTGCTTTTGCTATGCCTGACGGCGTTGCAACCAGCGCTGGCCGTTCTCGACGTTACGGGAGCCCCTGATTGTGGTGTAAGTCTTCCGAGGAAGAGGAAGGGAGAGCCCTTCCGAGGAAAGTCTCGGTGAAGACCTGGGCTAAGAGGTGTTTAGTTGAAATGTATCCTAACATCGACTGCCAACTCGGACTGCTCGCCGAGCAACACTACTTGTATCTGCACTACTGCGTCGCTACAAGCCCAAATTACCGAATGCGTGACTGCTAGCTGCTCGATCCGTGATCAGTTATGTGAGTCAAAAAGGAGGCTTGGCTTGTTTATATGACTGATTTGGGTGATGCTACTAGCTACGAAGAAATTCTCGGCGGAAACATGCGGCATAGAAGGCGAGGACAGACGTGAGCTTGTTGTCATCCTTGCGATGGTCTTCGGAGCACTTGGGCTTCTGGCTTTTATTCTACGGTGTGCTGCAAGACTTATTGGGCCACATGATTGGGGCC